CCCCGGGATGCTAAAAAATTATTTGTGCTTAATCAAATTACAGGGTACATTTTGGCAGTACTTTTCAAAAAATAATGGTAATTTTACCATTCTGGGGCCAGTAATGTCCTTTTGAGTTCAGAGCTTTTCTTGGCTCCTTGAAATCCAAGTTCAGTAGGACAGATCTTAAGAGTGCCTTAAATCCCATTGCATACAAGTGAAACACCTGCTCACAGCACTCGAAGGAATATAAGAGAGCACAGAGAATAAGAATAGTCACAGTACCATAGTTAGATCGGGTGGCGACTAGGCACTTGCCTGTCGGAACTCTCCATCTACTTTCTCGGGAGTTCACCCTCACAGATGAGTGGGTTTATTATTGCAGTGCATTCTGCTTATGTGTATTGATAAAATAACCAGGGTAAATTTCTATAATTTTTCCTAAGTAATCCTATATTCCTTGATTTTTGTACTTTAGGGATCAAGAGGCTTTTCTTTGCTTTTGGGGGTTTTTACCAGCAAAAGCATTTTTGCTTAACCCTTTTGGTAACTCATACATCAGTTTCTGTAATTTGATTTCATTTGCCATAACAGAACCTCTAAAAAGGATCTGTAACCAAACTGCTTACTATTCCACAACTCTAGGATATTCTAGAGTCCCTTGTGTATTGCAGAAATAACTTGGGGATTTTAGCATTTACCTAAAATGAAAGTGAGAAAATGTTTTTCATATATTCCATAAAATCAAATGAAATAGATAATTGCTTCCTTATACGTAAGGATTGCAAATAGTATCAGGTGACATGTATCACATCAATAGGTATGACTAATTGTAGACTAAAATTTATTTATTTATGGGGTGGGGTAGGGAGAGGCAGTCTTGCTGTGCTCCAGGCTGGCCTTGAACTCACTGTGTAGTCTAGGCTAATTTTGAACTTGTGATCTCCCTGCCTCCGCCTCCTAGTGTTGGGATTATAGGTATGTGCCACTATGCCCAATTTAGACAATTTTAGAATGACTTACATCAAGACTATAGATTTTGACTGCACATTGATGCATTTTCTTTCAAGTTACACAGAACTTAACACTATAATAATTTTTACTTTCTGGTTTTGATGATTATCTGAATGTTACTTTTATGTTGTTAGAGTTCAGAAAGCCACTGCAACAAATATTCCTTTGGAAGTCTAGAGCTGTAGCGCAATAGTAGAGCACATGCTTAACATGCAAGAGACCCTGGGTTCAATTCCCCCGTCGTCATCCCAAACCACCTTTTGTTTTCGTAGAATGGGGATGCTGTTCCCAAAAGTTTAGTGATGAGCCAAGGATCTGGGACTAGAATTAATGAATAGAACTTAAAAGAAAGGGGATATTGATATATTAATACCTAGATACTGTATTCACAGAGTTAGAAATAAAAATGAATGCATCTCATCACTTAGAATGTCAGTGTATTTGACAACCATAGATTTGTTTCGATGAAAGATGTTCTTATGTACACAAAAGTGCTTTTCTGCCTTCAGTTTTAAATTACTATTAATTAAACACTATGTGATATAATAGATAATTATAGTGTTTTAATATGGATGCTAGTGGATTTGCTAGTCTTTCTAAAATGCCTATTGTTGCCTAATAGTCACCAGGGGATCATTCATATAGCCATTGTGGTTCTAAAAATATCTGTAAATACCAATGGGATAGCCTGTTTTGTAGCATAGCTATTATAAAATGATCTTGCACTTGAAGTGCATCGTTCTGATTATAGATTTTTTATTCATATCACTCAGTTGCTTTCAGAATATTGTAGCAAAAAATACTCATGTTGAAAAAAGAATAAAGGAACAAGATGGTTGTTAAAAAGAGAAAGACTGGAGTTAGGAGTATTGGGAATCTTTTTTCTATTCATTAGGATTTTTAACGATTTTACTCATTAGGAGTTTAACTTGAGATGTTCTCATGTAGCCTCATTTTTATTTTAATTAATATTTCTATGGCAGAGAGATAATTAGATAAATGCTGTTGAATATTAAATATGGTAGTAGCATAGGGAAAAATAAGCATTTCTGGGTCACAGCCTTTAACAAAATATTGTGGTATGTGAGCTGATTAATTAGATTGAATGCCAAGTGAGTTTCCCAGCACCTCTCATCTGACTCTTGTAGTCACTTCGTTCGTTGCCTAGGGTTGCTCTGGAACAGAATGACTGGTTAATGGTTTTTTCTAAAACCTGCTGCTAATGGGGTAAATCTTGATTAGAGAACAGTCCCAACCTCATTCGATGCAGCTAAGTGTGAGAGCACACAAGAGTGTGAACTCATGTGTTACATCAAGCATTTAAAAGCCCCGTATGTGAAACTTTTAGTGCTGTCACTGGTGGCTTTTATATATTGGTGGCTCCTATCTATAAGGTTACAGTGAAGACTCTAAAATATATTCTAGGCTACTGTGTTGTCTGTCCTTGCTGTTTTTATATCTAATACTATATTACACGCAAAAAAAAAAAAAAAAAAGACTCAGCTCAAATTCTAACCAGACCAGAGAAGTTGAGACAACCACATTTAGCATTATCATTTATCAATGGTTTCACAGAAATTCAAAGTGATAGTTTTTAAACTGTATTGCCAAAATATCCTAGGGAGTCAGGATTATGTAAATGGTCAATTTTAATTTCATTATTTTATAAATTGTAATGAAAGTCACTCTGTGAAGTTTTCATTGTGATGGCCAGTCATTAACTTTTGCTACCAAGTTAACTAGTTTGGGGGCAGATCTTAGAATAAAGCTTCTTCTGCCTTTTCGTGCATTTATTTGAAATTTTGCAAAGACTCTTAGTAGGGGTCTCCTGGCTTTTCTGTGAATGCAGGCAGTGCAGTGCCTGACAAGGCCCACCACCATAGCTTCCTTCTTCTAGGCCTAATTGATGCCCACCTTCCCACACCCCTCTCCTCTCCCCCACCCCACAGCCTACAGAGCCCAGGCACACAGTTTGGAGACTTGCTTTTGCCATGGAGCAATAATAAGTTAGACCTGTGATTGCTGGCATATTGCAGTGGAATACAACATTCTAAGTTTAGGCTGATTTTTTTCATTTTAAGTGCCATTTGTCAAATTTATTGTCTTGAAAAGGATGCTGTTAAAAAATATCTGAAATTTTTTCTCATACTCTCTTCATTAACACCTGGCATCTTGAACTTTAAAAGCAAGCTTTCTATTAAGGTTATCATTGACAACCACTTACCTAGTGGGTCAGAATTATCTTAATGTTCTATAGCCAAATAAAACATAGAAATAAAAACATAGCAGCTGATATTATTACAGGTATCACCCACAACTTCTTACATAACAGTTTTGTATCTATAAATGTAGACTTGCTGTTTGTATCAATTACAATAAATTTAATTGGTTTTTCTAAAAATTCTGGAAATTTTCTTTCATCCAGTCTTTAACAGAACTGTGGAGCTCTGAACGAGGTGGTTATGTACTAACACATTTTTAAAGTGTTGTTTTGTTTTGTTTTGTTTTTCCCAGTACTGGAGATTGAACTCAGGACCTTGTGCTTGCGAGACAGGCATGGCATCACTGAGCTAAATCTCTGGCCCTCCTAAAGTGTAGATCTTGGAGAACACAAATGCTATTGAGTATTTTTTTAGCTCAGGCTGCTATAACAAAATACTATGTACCGAATGTTGTATAAATGGCAAATCTTTATTTCTCATTCTGGTTGCTAGGAAGTCCAAGCGCCGACAGAGTCAGTGTCTCTGAGGACTCCATTCTCATTCACTGCCCACAGCCCTTTCACTGTGTTCTCTCATGGTAGATATAGGAAGCAACCACTCTTAGGACTCCTATATGACACTAAGCCCACTCATGAGGGATCCACCTCATCCTCTTATGTAATCTAATCACCTCCCAAACATTCCACCTCCTATCACATTAGAGAGTAAAGTTTCAGTTTACAAAGTTGGGGGAAGCATAAGCAGTCTATATTAGCATATAATCACATTATCTGTACAATTTACTATTGCATAAAACTAAAAATTTGATCAGAATGTAAAAATGAAATCATTTTATAAAATTAATTTTAAGGAGAGTAGACAGAAGCAGTTATTTAAAAATCACTGCCTTGCATCCACTATTTTGGAAGTTATGTTGGAGTTCATAGCTTCCTGTTTAGCAGCTCAATATTACATGTGCAAGTAAGCTGCACTTTTCCAAGAACATGCAAGGCAAAGAGGCGACCTCTTTTTGTTAGTAGGAGAAATGAATTAGGGAGAAGTATGCTGAACTGTGCTGTACCTGCTCCTCAATTATAACTAGAGGGCTTGGGATTTAGCTCAGTGGTTCCACCACCTGCTTCGCAAGCACAAGGACCCAAGTTCGATCCCTGGTACCAAAAAAAAAAAAAAAAAAAAAAAAAAAAAATCAATTATAACGAGTCAGCTCAGTATCTCTTCATAATAGTAAGAAAATCATGCATCAATTTCCCAACTTCTTATACACACATTTAAGTGAGGGAGGCAAATGGCCTTGGGACTTGATGTGTCTTCTGGATTTTATTATCCATTGTACTTGCCCTAGATGTAAGTAAATGGATTTGGAAAGCTTTAATTTATTAGAACATGAAGGTTTCATTCCCAACAGGACTGGAGCATGTACCTTAGAAGTCTTACAAAATTCATTTTTCAAAAACACATTGTTTATGCATTGGTTTTTCAAAACATGTTTACCTGCAAATATAAATGATGTTTTAGGAGGGAAAGAAAAGGTAGAGTTGCATGTTTAAAGAGCCTTGCAAGAAAAAAAATAGTTCAATGCTTGCGGCATTCTGTATGAAGAATTTTTCAAGTCTTCAATGAATAATATATTTTTCTGACACAAATCCTACTATCCTAACCCTTCCTACTACAGTAGTTCCATCATTTCTCATGTTTTTGTGATGCACACTGTTCAGCAACGTGGACAAGTAACTGCCTTTCTCGTCACCTTTGTGCTTACCTTGTATTTGTTTTCTTTCTTTGCAGAGACTCTCCTTGATGATTTTCTTCTCACGTACACTGTCTTCATGACGACTGATGACCTGTGCCAGGCGCTGTTAAGGCAATATCCTTCATTAACTTTAGGATACTATGTTGACTACCTCTCAGACAGATGTCTCACATTACGAATTAACTGCCTTTCTTAATTTACTCAATTCCATGGTAGCATGTGGATGTGTTAAATATTAATGTAATGATATCCAAGGTAAAAGATGAAATGAGACAGAATGGACAGGGAGAAATGGTAATGTAGAACTACTATTTTCATGTTGTAAGATGTAAGTAAATTGAACCATTTGTATTTGCTTCAAATGTTTTTCTTATGATTGTTTAGAAAGCTGGAGGTAAAATTGGCCTTCTGGTAAACCTCAACGTCAAGAGGTTGAGTAGATTGGCATTATTACACAAGTGGCCTCAGAGGGGAATCAGTAAGAGTCAGACCACTTGTGCACAAAACATATATACATATGTGATACCATGTTCCTGGGCAAGTGTCCCTGGGGACACAAGCTATTTCCCCCACATAGGAAGGCTAAACTTGCCCCTGGAACTATCTGTCATCTTTTCAGAGCTTTATCTTTGCATGTTCTCTTAGAATGGTGGATGTGATTACAAGATTACTGACCAGTTGGGGAAGCCTTATAATTTTACCCACTAACTAGAAGAAATGCCAACTGGAACCATTGAAAGGCCACAGAGCAAAGCCATATCACTTACTACAAGTCTCCAAATTGGTCTCTTGCCTCATCATGCTTAAAGATATGTTTTAATATCATTAATGTATTTAATAAATTAATTTAGATTTAATAGATAATTTTGTTAATGGTAAAATTAAATTACTTAAAAATTTAAGCATTTAGTAAAACATTCATGTTTTCATAAATAAAATCAAAGGTTCCATTCCAACTTGCATAAAAATGTTTAAATAAATGGATTTTTGTGTGTGTGCTGAAGTTTTAAGACCTGATAATAGTCATTCAATATAATTTTCCTATTAAATAATTACTACATGTCTCCCAACTCTATAACATTTTTCTGCCTAAAAGAATACTATAAAGCTCCATGAAATACATAAAGTAAATCTGTCTTTAAAAATATATAAACCAGAAATGGTGATTGCATTTAGTTCTTTACTATGTCCTATGACCAAGCAATGTTATAGATATTTTGACACTTGTTGAAGTTGACTTATTGAACTGATCTTGAAACATTATTAGTTTTACATTTGGAAAATTTCAATATGTGCAGATTTCTTCTATAGTTTCTAAGTAGAGTGTTATTAAGAAATTTAGCAATAATTTTAAAAGTTTTGAATTTTTCCTTCTTTGAAAGGGTTTGGGAAAAATATCTTTGAGCTTATTTACCTACCTTTTACTGCTAACATATTTGTAAATAACTGCCATTCATTATTACTATAGTGTTTATATAGTCTTCAAACTATTACTTTTAACTATGATCTTAATATTATTTTTAATTATCATTTAAAATTTAATATCTCATAGGATGTTCTTAAAGAATCTTTCGGAGCTTTCTTGAATATAAATATGTTTGAGTCCTTGGAAACTCAATTTGAAAATTTAGTTCAGAATTTTAGCATCCTTTTTATTGATTACTAAAAATCCAAGACAGTTCAAACTATGAGTTTTTCTACATGATTATTTCATTATTTTTGCATACTGTGCTTTCTGTGAAGCCCTACAAACCATAAACAAACCTCTGAAAGCTGTATTTAATGTGAGATATTTTTGTGCACATCTCAGTGATGATTTCTTTCATATCCCACTATAGTTTTTCCTGACGACTTTTAAGCATTATTTATAGATTAGCACCATTTGTGCTGGGCTTAGATATTTTAGATGAGTATTTTTTTTATTGCAATAGAATTTAAAAGCTTTCAGCTTTTATCATCATAAAGCACATTATTTAAGCTTATAGCCCTGGGCCAACTAATATTTAATGCATTACACAGAAGGTGTAGCTCTCCCAGTATCCCTACCCCCAGCTAAATGTATAAATTAGTATAGTTCTGCATGGAATAAATGTGAAAGAATCTAATATAGGAAAGTGGATAATACAAATGCAAATTTAATCAATAAATATTTTAAAATATGTATCTTGGAAAGAGGAAAGAATAAGGCTAAGCAAATAAATGTTAGTAACTATGAATACAAAGAATGGTTGTTTCTTGAAATTGCGTTATTCTGCTGGCCTATAATTATAAAAAATGCATATATATATATTGTTTTTTTATAAAAAGCTTATATCTTCACTTACATATACTTACTTAAAAAAACAGTTGTTAAAAAAAAGAGAAGTTGTTGGTATTTCTTCTATTTCCTGCTTTTTCTTTATATTAGTGAAGCCATTATATTTATGGGAAAAGCAGAAAAATATTTACATAAATAGAACTAATTAGGATAATTATACCCAGTTAAATTTTCCATGTGTTCAAGGTGCTCAGAAATTATCATTTTGGAGAGAGAAAGATTAGTTTAGCTCCTGTCTTCTTCCTAGTCATTTAAGCACTCACTTTGCCTTCAGTGTTGTTCTTATTTAATTTTAATAACATGGTTAATACATATTCATTATATACAAATCAGGAAATTCTTATAAGTAAAATAATTCATATATTCTTAAATCTCATTACATTGAAAAGCCGCTGTTAACCATCTCTCTAGTCTTCCAGATAATTTTATTATTCACATAAGCATTGTTAACAGAAACGGAGGGTTCTGGGCCGGGGATTTAGATCAGTGGTTCTGGTGCCTGCCTCACAAGCGAAAGGGCCTGAGTTCAATCCCTGGTACCCACCCCTCCAAAAAAAAAAAGAGAAAGAAATGGAGGGTTCTAACATATTCTGTTTGTACTTGCTTTTCTATTCAGCAGTAGTTTGTGAATGTTCCATGAGTATATGTACTGTAGACAATTATTTTTATGGCTATGCAACAGTCCACTAAATGGATATGTAATTAGTTAACTTTCCTCACTTGCTGAATCATTTATATTGTTTCCTATTTTATCTTTTAAATTTAATTTGAATGGAAAGGAAAATTAGTTATCCTTTTCTTTTATGTTTCCACACTTACTCAAACTTCTTTTTTTCAAGTAAATTTCTAGGAATGGAGATTTGAATCATATCACAAATTATGCCCCAGAAATCTGTGCTCATTTAGAACTACTGTAGAAATAACTGGTTTTACAAAATGTGAATCCCTGATAATCAAAGAACATTTGGCCTCCATCTGATCTGTGTAACTATGAATAGTTTTCACCCATGTCAGGATGCCAGACCTTCTCTAGAAGCCCCCTTGAATCCAATGGGCCACCCAGGATCTCTCTGAACTGACAATAATCTCATGCTGCCTGCAGGACTTTGTCAGCAGCTGCCAGTGTGACGGTCCAGCCCTTAACTCTGTGGCCTCCAGCTGAGGATACTTCAGTCATTTTGTCAGTTTGCTTTTGTTCTTTTCAGTGTCCACCTTTTGCTCTCGCTGTGTATGTTCTCTTCTTCTTTTGTGGAAAATATGCTTTAGCCTATTTTGTAAAGACTAGAATAAGTGGATCCCTGTAATTTTTTATTTCAATAACGCAATGTTCTTTCTTAACCATTTGCACCTATTCTGCTAAAAAGTATCAAGGCAAAGAAGAAAATTCAGATGTTCCTTGTAGGAAACGTAAAGTCTTGCATCTGGTTTCCCAGTGGATTGCTCTGTACAAAGACTGGCTACATGAGGATGAACATTCAAAAATGTTTTTAAAGGTAATCTAAGGTTTCCAGGTAGTCTTTGATACCAAGTGACTGGCTTTATTTTCAGTTATACATTTCAAGATCTCATTTGTAGATAACAGTCACTCACCTGTTTTGATTATCAGGTCATGATTCATAGAAAGTATAAATGTATTTTTATTTCTGAGGCCTGATAGTCCCTCCAAATTGAAAATAAACTTTCTCCTATATAGGAAGCTTTTCTAAATTTTCAATACTTTATTATGAAAAAAATCAGAAGGAAATTTTTATGCTTATTTAAGTTGAGAATTTTGACTGCAAATGAAATAAATAAGGAAAGTAAAAAAATATACTTCGGATTTTGATGTACTTACTGAAATTTATTATAACTTTAACCACTCCTATGTACATCTGCAAAATTTGTATAAAGCATTATCATTTAAAAATTACATTGACAAGCCAGGTATGGTGGCACATTCCTATGATCTTAGCACTCTGGAAGCCTAAAGCAGGAGGATTATGAGTTTGAGCCCACCTTGAATAATTTAAGGACTTAACAAGATCTTGTCTCCAAAAAGTGGTGGGGGTGAAGGCTGGGGATGTAGCTCATGTGAAGGCCCCAGGTTCAATCCCCAGTACAACAATAGCAACACAAAAAGAAGAAAATTACATTGACCACCTGTAGTATATAACTTAAGAAATATATATATATATAATTTGTTTGTTTTGTTTTGTTGGTACTGGGGATTGAACTTGGGTCCTTGTGCTTGTAAGGCAGACAGCAGAAACACTGAGCTAAATCCCTGGCCCAAGAATATATTTGAGAATTTTAAGCAATGATGATTTGTAAAATGAACTTAGATTTACATTTTGAATTAAATAAATTGATTCATTTTTTAATTATTAATAGGTTGCCATATCTTTTTAACACAATTTTCTTTGTAGACGGAAGTCCTTTGACTCCCCAAACCATATGAAGTGTACACATTAACACAAAGACTGGAATGGAATTCTAGTAGAGACCTATTTTAGAATAGGCAGGTGTATGTGCCTAAGTGAAATAAATAAGTCACACGTGTACATACCGAATAGTTTCTCTGGTGTGAATAAACTGCAGTAATACATAAGATCCTAATAAGATTACTGACATTGTGAAATGAGAATAAAGGGGCTAAAGGTGTAGGGAAGGTGGGATGGGTAGGGGAAGGGTAATAAGGGAAAAGAAAAAAATGTGAGATAAAGAAAAGATGGAAATAAAGTGCTTATAGATGGGGAAGGGAGGAGGGGGTGAAGGGAGGGCAGGGACAAGGGGAAAAATGAGAACCAAGACCTGTCGTGTAGAGGTACAAGATCCCAACAATGATAAAAATAAAAAAAAAAAAAAAAAGAATAGGCAGGTGCCTAAACTGCTTCTGTCTTTCGTGAAGGAAATTACTTTGAATGTAACATTTGGACATCTAGTTAAAAACTAGTTTAACCGGCATTTTCCCTGAACCCATGTTATTTTCAAAACAGCTGATAAACTGATATTTTTTCTTTCCAGTTGATTATGTGGATGTTATTTTTTTAAGATATAAAGTAGGCATGGATGTTTTGAGTAGGCAGTAGCATCTCTGTTGTCAGCATTCCCTAGGTAAAGCACCTTACACATTTTATAGAGTGGCTAAGAGTCAACCCATACATTGTCTTGGATTCCACCATATTTCATTGAGCAGGATAACAGGTGTCTGAGTCTTTTTGTTGGTAGTGGTTCTGAGAATTGAACCCAAGGCTTCATAGATGCTAAGCCCATGCTCTGCCAAGAACTACATCCCCAGCACTGTCTTAATCTTAATCCTTACAAAATTAACATTAAACTATTTCAGCTGCCATTTGTTTTCTCCAGACCATATATAGGAATGTCCTGGATGATGTCTATGAATATCCAATACTTGAAAAAGAGTTAAAAGAATTTCAAAAGATACTTGGAATGCATCGTCGTCAGTAAGTATTTAATTTTTCTTACTGGAATATCATCTATGAAGTAGATTTTGAGTATTTTGGTTTTGTTTTTATTTTTGTTAGATTTTGTTTGTTTTTGTTTTTTCTTTTGTTTTTGTTTGCAGTACTTGGGATTGAACCCAGAGCCTTTACACAGAAGTACATACCTAGTCCTTTTTATTTTTTTAAGACAGGATGTCACTAGTTGCCCAGACAGAGCTCCAACTTGCAATCCTCCTGTTTCAGCCTCCCAGAGTGCTGTGATTGCAGGCTTCTACCACTACACCTAGTAGTTTTGAACATTTTGACTCAAAATTCATCTTGCTCCCTTAGCTTATCTAGTAGTAGATTGTGTATTTTTATGTCTCAAAATGAAAGAACACTAAATCAAACTTACTAACTTTTTTAAAGAACTCTGTTTTAGATGGTTTAAACAAACTGGCTGTAACTACCTGGGTGTATAAAAACAATTATTTAATAGATTATTATTTAAGTCTACATTGGAGCTTATATCTTTATCTACGGAAAAGGAAAAAAGTTTTATGGATAAGTCCCAGTGAGTCGTAGAACATTTCAGAAACTCAATTTTATGAGTTCCCTGAGATTTTTTATCAATTTAGAAAGATTAAAGAATGCCATCAACTCACTGGTGCTTGGCAGGTCCAAGCATCCCATAAATAATACTCATTAATCTTGCAGCTTGACCATGCATGATTTTACTGGGTTTTATCACTGATATTCCTTATTAGTTTTAGTAACTGAAAGCTTCAAGTATTCATTTGGTTTGCAGATATAGTTTAAAGAGTTCATCTGAGGGAAAGTTGCTCTGTGATTTACAGTGTACTAGTGTATACTAATTAGGAAAACTTTTGTTATGATTTTAGCAGTCATAAATGCAGTTCTCAGAAAAAAATGCCAACTCAAGCCTTTCAGATTACTGATTGGGGATTTAAGTCCTTATTTAATTTTAGTAAAGAGAGTCCTTGTTGCAAATGAAAAATCTATCTAAGGGAGCAAACAAACCATTTAATAAGCTTTTGTTCTCAGTCATCAAAATTGCACATTTAGACATTTAAAAATCAGGTGCAAATTAGAGAACAGTTAGAAATGAATGTTATGAGTTGTGGTCTTTTATTACAGCCCACAGTATGTTAAATATCCATAATTTAATGGCTAATATGAAAGTATAAACCATTAATATGAAGCAAAAAAAGGGGGAAGAGACATTTGAATCAAAATCATCCCTCCTGTGGAAGTGCTACAAGACAGACTTATGCGTTAAATACATCAGTGGAATTTAATACATTCTATTAAAAACTTATATTAGAATGGGAAATAATAGATTAAAATAAATTTATATCAAGAAATGATAGACCTAGGGGTGTAACTCAGAAGTAAGCCAAGTGCTCAGTTTTCAAGAGGCCCAGGTTTCATTCCCCTGTACTTTTTTTTTTAAAAAGACATGATTATTCCTTCTTTCATATATGATTATGAAATATACTTATATTCTAAAAGAAAATTTGAACCTCAGATATTTTTCATGTCACATTCTTGTTTAGCCCCACTGTACAAGTAGAGGAAAAAGTGGTTTTTTCTGAATGTAAGATGTATACCTGCAATTTATGGTTAATCTGATGATGTATGAAAATGGCCCCAGAGCAAGTTCCATCACAAGTGGAAGAGGCCTTCAGAAAATACGTAGCAGTGAGAATCATCTCTGATCAGAGATAGGACCTGCAGAACATTCCCTGTTTCTACCACATGGAGAAACGTCCTGGAAAACATACTGAATTATTCAGCTGTCTAAGTAATAATTTCATCCAAAATGCTCCACTATATGGGAAAAACATTTCTGTATACTAAATATTGCTACTCAAAAAAAAAACAAACTAATTTCTGTGGACTGATTCCATGGACTTAATCCGGTTTCTCCATCAATTCCTGGCTTCATTTTTTTTTTTTTTTTTTTTCTGGTTTTTTTTTTTTTTTTTTTTTTTTTTTTTTTTTTGTGGGAAAGAAGCACAATATACCAGTTGAGTAGACAGCTTCTTTTCTTCCTAGTTTGTTTGAAATTCAAATGTCATGTGTGATATATGTAGTAAATTCGTGAATGCTGGGGGGTGGGGTGTTGGTGGGCAGTGAACCAGGTCCTTGCACGTGGTAGCATCACCCTCTATCACTGAGCTACATTTCTAGTCCTTTCTGTGTATGCTTTTATTTTGAGACAGGGTCTCACTAAGTTGTCCAGGCAGTCCTCAAAGTTATGATCCTTTTGCCTCAGCTTCTTGAGTAGGCGGGTGTTTTATCTTTTTTTTTTTAAAGAAGCCCTCTGCCTATTGCCTGAAAATTAGTCTCCCATAACAGTAACAGCATTATTCTGAGTTTGAGGAGAAAAAACTAACTCCTCAACTTTTTATTTTCAGCACTGTAGATGAATATTCACCACAAAGGAAGGTAAGCAGATCCTTCTGTATCTGAAATGGGGTGATCTGGTTTGGAAACCTTGTCCTGCCTGGGTTGGCATTTCTTCAGAATTCAAATGTATCAGCCTAAAGCATCACAAGGCAAAGCAGGGGAGCGTGGGGCTGAGGCTGCCTGTACTTTCCTGCTCTGCTGTGGTTTCCCTGTGTGGTGCATATCTGGTTTTAGCAATGTACCCTGACTTTGTGATGTTATACCTATTTTGTGGTACATTTTGGAGTCTCAGAGCTTCCGTGCTGTCCCTAGACTGATAAAAATTTGAAGTTTACAAAGTTTATGCCAAAAATCTAAGAATCTCGATTCAGAGTGTAAGAAAGTCATGTAAGGAAAGGTTTGCATTCTCAGCATGGTAGGAGTGATGGTAGCAAGCATGTGTTTGTTCCTGTTGAACCTGATAGGGGGAAATACAGAATGCAACGTCTGGCCCATGTTTCTAAGATGGGCAATCATACTGAACAATGCACCTGTGTCTTATAAGAAAGCCCATGTACTACATTAGGAATATGAAAGGATTTCACGGAGTTGCTTCTGTGAAAAATGTGAAAAGCAGAAGCTCAGGTTGTGGTATCTGTGACTTGGAGGTTAATGTTGGCTTGGGGAGGATTCCTGTCTTAGGCGAATCTGTAGCAGTAGCCAGAAGTGACAAATGGGGAATATTCTCTGGCGTATGGGAGGGATGCATTAGAGAAGATTTTTGCCTCCTACTGACCTTGGCCAGGTCCTATCATATCTATTGACCAGAATTTCTATCTCCCCATTAATTAACTGATGCCACCCCCGGTTTATTTTTCCTAGACTGGATGGGTAATTTCATATTTTAAGAAAAACTGCCTAGCTCTTCTTGAACATGTGTAAGCAGCTATGGTTTACCGAAAAGCAGGAATATATTCATTCATTGTTCTTTCTCCCTTCTCACAGAATAAAGCCCTTTTCCACCAATTGAGTCTCAAGGAGAACTGGCTCCAGCACAGAGGAACTGTGACGGAAACAGAGGAAAGTGAGTAGGATTTTATGCAAGGTTCAGGGTAGGTGGACTCGTAGCTGGTCGCCATCACAGCCCTCCATGAATACATCAGCCTATGTTTAACTGTCATTTCTCACTGTCATCCACCTCTAACAAACATTTAGTACCGCATAGCATGTTTTTCCTTTTCTTGCTTTGAGGTTACAGTTGTCTTAATAATGCTGTCCCCTGAACCAAGGATATATTTAGTTTGGGAGGCAAAGAAAGGAGAAGATGCAAAGAACCCTCTTGTATTCTAGGGTAGAGGTACAGAATACAACAGAAACTCAGAGATTCCTCCCTGAACCTTCTCCCCAACTCCCCAACCCTGTCAGCCCTTTGCCACCAACTAACTGGAAGGCCACCAAAGCCAGTGTGCAGGGTTTCGGCTGAGTCTATCCCTGAGATTTAGAGAAGGAAATCTGGGAGAGAATAATGAAAAGAAGGGTGTGTAGAAGAAACTCCTCCAAGGCAAGGCAGTGTCTGGCAATGCTACACTTCCAGTGGGTCCTCTTACTCACTCACTGCTCCTTAGCGGGGATCATGGCCTCCAGCGAAGGTGGATGGCTCAATGGGGGGGGGCATTTCAGCACCCTTTAGGTGCTGGTGTGCTTTTCTGTGTGAATATTTATATCAGAACCAAGATGGTGGCAGTGGCTTCCTCCTAAGCGGACAGAGATGGAGTCAAAGGCAAAGCTGGGAAACAGTGAATGTTTAAAATGTTTATGAGAGTGTGGATCTGAAATTTTCTCTTCATTCACCTTTCTCCATCTTTTGAAATTTAAAGTGTAAACATTTGATAATTGCCCAATTTTTTGAACATTAAAAATACAACATGTCACAGGCCTGCCTCTTTTCTTCTGTGTTGTTTATTATATATAGTGCTCGTGGCTGGTTTCTATTTTGTCACATTAAGTCATCGGCCCCAAGTGAGTGAGGAAACAAAATTATGTTACCTCCTAATTTGTTAATTGCTGACCCTTTTTGCCCATTTATCATATAATTTAATTGTATAGTTTTCCAAGCTGAGCTTGAAAGAGGCTATCTCAGGCCCTCTGGGCTTTTTTTGCTCATCAGTTTATTAAGCAAGCTACAAGTTTACCCTGCATTTAGTGCTTTGTAGACTGGATTTTTTTTTTTTTTTTGCCTTGCTCAAACAGTTGTGTCTTTTTATAGAAAGAAGAAAATCATTTTTCCCATCTCACAAGTCTCTTGACAAACTGTAAAACAATTATTTGTTAGAAGCTATCCTTTCGGTGATACACCCAGTGAAACCACAAATCTGTCAACTGCCCCCCTATAGGGTGTGCTGTACATGTCAAACCCTGGTTAGGCTTCTGCTTTACTTGCATTTCTGTGAAACCATTCCTGGGTTTATTTTTGTGATGCCATTTAAATTGCACATAAAATTTCTCTAAGAGCTGTACTCCTTCCCCCAATTCTTTTTGCATTGCAAAAGAACGGAACATCTAAGTATGTTGTTATCCTTCTGTTTGTTCCACAGCAGCCAGTGTTCTAGACATTCAGAGTAGCTGAAATAAGAAGCAAGGTGTCAATTATGTCCATTGTTATTAAGGCAGGTTTTGCAATTCAAATCAAAAAGAAAAATTTTTCCAGGACCTATTCACTTTGATAGTGATCATGTCCTAGTAATAATTATCAGCACAAACAATAAAAAGGAAATTAAAAAGGCTAGAAATGTGACCTCCATTTGGATGCTAAACTGATCACCACTTTGATGTGGGGGCGGAGATGTCATTCTTAAATGACTGAGAAAGCTAAACCAAAAACTAGGCAAGTGACAGATTTTTAGCTACGCTTATGAGAATTCTAATAACAAGTGCATTGTTCTTGATTGGGCCACTGACTGCCCTGAAATGGAGTGTAAAATAAAAATTTATGAGTTAGACATTTTAATATGCTGCTTTGGGAGATCTCAGCAATTTTTAAAGAAGGAATTCAGAAGTATAGTCTGTGTAGCTGGGTTTCCACTGTATTATGACCAGTCTCTACCAAGAGCACACAGTGATGTGACTCAATCTCCCCGACGGTAGGGGAAGCCCAACTTCCCTCAGGCCTCTTTGCCAGCTTTGTAGCATCTGTGTCTCCTGTGTTTGCAGGCACACATTCAAAGGCAGGTAGGTAGCTCAGTCCTCATGCGTACACGTAAGTGGAAGGCGGATGCCTCTGTTGGAATAGTCTGCACCAAATTACCAGTCTTCTCTGCATACGAACAATTCTTTTGACTTTTGCAGTTTTTTGCCACGTGTATATAACTGAGCACTCCTATGTCAGTGTGAAGGCAAAGGTTTCCAGTACAGCCCAGGAGATCCTGAAGGTCGTAGCGGAAAAGATCCAACATGCAGAAGAGGATCTAGCTCTGGTGGCCATCATGTTCTCTGGGGGTAAGTTATTGTCTGTCTTTCAGTGTTACTCTTACACTAGATTGCCTCCAAAAAGAGAAAGTAGACATTTTTGTAGAGTAACTGGGCTGCTCCTCCTTCCTGAGCCCGCAGCTGGATGACCACAGTAACAATAAGAAGCTGCCTAGCAGAGGTGTTTCCATGGCAACAGTGGGGTGCTGCTGGATACTGAATTTCTTCCCCAAGAACTGAATAGAGAGGCACATTGGTGTTTTGAAATACATTATAGCATTATAAAGCTTTTCGTATTTTGCACTTAGATAAGCCTTTCATTTCCATATTTAAATGAACTTGGAAAATTGCTAAAGGATGAAATTACTGTAGAGGAAAAAAAGAAAAAAAAAAAAAGAAAATGGCCTTGAACTAGTCATATTGCTGGCTGACAATTTAATACATCGACTCCCCACTGGAAGAAAGGAAAATGTACAATAAGCCGAGGCTCACAGGGCAGTGTTCCTTCAGGTGGATCTGGGGAGGGAGAACTGGTGAAAGCTCTCCTTCCACTGGGCCTTATTTATCCTCAGAGAAAGGTTTATTGTCTGTTTTGAATAAGATCACACAGATTACAAGCGAATGCTATTGATCTACACAGCCAGAACAGGCCCCTTCGCTTTCACTAGGGCCTGTCAAATTTCAAAGTCCATGGCCTCCTTTTTGGCTTGCAGTCTTTATTTAATATCTCATTAACCCTGAGGAAAATACAAAGGAAGTGACTGAGCATCTGTAGTCGACAAATGGAAGCGCTGTGTGAATTAACCTGGGCGGGAAGAGGGGAGCTAGGTGGTGTTACTCTTTTTATGCTATAGGGGAGGATGAGTCCCAGAATGTAGTCCACATTAAAATGTTATGTAACAGAATTTTGTGCCTATTGCTTTGTTGCTCACAGGCGAGTAAAATGGTCCTGCAAGCACGTGGACTACCTATGCAAATAGAGCCCTCTCCTTAGGCCTACGAACTCTCATTGTACATCCTATCAAACGTCATTTAGGGCTGAGGGGATATCCCAGGGGTAGAAAAGATGCTTAAGCGTGTGTGAGGCAAAAAATAGGAGAGACATTTGGACCTGATGAATATTGATCAGGAAGTTATTAAATATAAGTATGTTAATAATATATTTGGGGTATTTCAGAGCAATATGATAAAGTGGATTTTATACTTCGTTTTTGAGTGACCAAAAACCATAAGTCATTTTAAATAGTATTAATCTTCATCGAAACCAGCATGTGCCTCTCAAGATAGTACTACAAGAGTAAGTGAATCCTGGGTCCCCGCTGAGGAGTTGAGAGGTGCTGGATAAGGAAGGGACTCACGACTTCAAACTTCACAACACAACTGAGACCCGTGTCCCTGAGGAGCTAATTTCATTCAGTCCAGGGCCGCTCAGAATCTGGCAACTGAAGCACCGGCTCTTTCACTACCCCGTATCTGTTTGATGGCTGTGAAGTACCATTTTCATGCTCCATTAAATGAGATTCATCTGGGTGGGCAGTGGTGTACTGGTGTGTATAGATCACATGCTAATCAGCATGGGAAATATCAGCTTATCTCCGGAATTATCCCACAGATTTGGAAACGTGCCATCCTTTTCCAGGCATTAGATTGTCTTTTTTTTTTTTTTTTTTTTTTTTTTTTTTTTTTTTTTTTTTTTTTTTTTTGTCTATAAAGAGCCTTTCTGCCTACATTTTATCTCTGAAACAATGTTTTAATTAAAGAAAAATTAAAGCAGCTTAATGCATTCCTTGCTCTAGTTACATAACTTTTCACAAATAATATTTCACTACTACTTCAGAAGAGATGACGACATCTGTTCTTTTTATCAAAAGAGGTTGAAAGATACTGGAAATGTTAGAGGTTTTGTAGATTTTTCTAAAAGAAGCAGAACGATTCACATGGCTGTAGTCGTTTTCTAGTGTTTTTGTAAGGACAGGTATGCACATAGTGTATCATAGCAATAACCTGCCCACTTATTCAGAGGTTAAAATTCAGCTCCAGTCTTTCATAGAAAATTAAAAAACCTGAAAAGACTTCAGAATCCAGCTGTGTGGGACCATTGACCACCCATATCCACAGCCCAACATGGTTGTACTTTTGAATTGGGGCAGTGGAGATGTCGGGGGATTAAACCTGGCTCAGTGTGAATCCTCAGATGTAAGGGCCAGTTGGGTTTCCAGGGACAGAACCCTCATTATGTGAGGCTGTCTCAGTCATGTGGGGTTCTTCTCGACTCCAAGGTGACCATAGGTTGAGAATGATGGAGACTTCTGGGAATAGTTCTTAGTCTTCAAGGGTAGGAAGACAGCTTAAGTAAGTTTAGGGCTAATAAACTTGTTCTGCCCACTTTTAGGCAGACTTTCCAGGACCTGGCCCAGAGTTCCACAAAGTGAAGCTTCGTTATACTTTTAATTACCTATTGGGCATTTCTAGGCCCAAGTGAAGAGTCACAGATCTTAGCAAAAGTCACTTTTAGGTCCAACGTAGGAAAATACACAAATCATGCTTCTAATGAGTAACAGGTTAAGAGCCCAGGAGTTTGTGCTCTGTCCTTACAGTGTTTTCTGTGTTGTAAGTATGTTAAAGATATATGGACTATTGCATTTCCCAGTCATACTGGATTACTGAAGGGCTGCCTTCAGCGAGCTTGATTATGTTACAGTAGAATTCCCATGTGCATTTTGTACTTTGGAGGAGAGCATTTTCTGTGAAGAAAGCTATTGAATTATTAGAGGGCTTCAACTAGTGTAGAAAGAAGTCAAAGTATAGGAACAGTATGCAGTAAGAGAAATAAAATAGAAGAGGAATATGCAAAAAAATTCAGCCTCACCAATGGACAAGAAATACAAAATAGAACCAGTTGTAGGGGTTCACGCCTATAATTCCAGCACTCTGGGAGGCTGAGGCAGGATTGCAAATTCAAGTGCAGCGTGGGAAATTTAGCAACTCATTGTGAGCCTGTGTCAAAATAAAATAGAGCTGAGAATAGCTCAGTCCAAAGTACTGAGTACAATTCACAGGTTTTCTAATTAATTTATTTACTTATTTTTGGGTTTTTTGAGACAAGGTTTTGCTTTATAGTTCAGGCTGGCTTTGAACTCACTGCATAGCCCAGGCTGGCCTCAAATTCATAACATCCTCCTGCCTCAGCCTCCCAAGTGCTGGGATTACAGGTGTGCACCACCACACCAGGCTCCTCAACTCCCAGTTAAAAAAAAGAAATACAAAATATACTGAGAATTTTGTTTTAGTAAAATAGCAAACTTACCCAAAGTAGTAATCACTGTTGGTCAGTATGCACGTTTTCTGTCTTCTTTTATTTTCTAAGAAAGAAGAATTGGAAAACAGATTGACACTTTGTATCAAAACTTTACAATTATTCATTCCTCTTGACCAGTAATCTCAAGACTGGGAATTCATCTTAAGGAAATCACCTATAAGCAGACAAGGATATATGCACCAGAGTTCTGACTTGGGCAGTGTATCATGGCTGCTACAGTGATAGAACCCATTTATCAAGTACTTGTTACACACCAGCCTGTGCTAGTACTTCACATGTTCTGTGCTGCCTCATTTATGTCTCCAAAACAATCGGGAACCATTAAATGTCCACCAGTAGAGGAAAGATTAAATGATCAACCTGTTATGTAACCAATTAAATATGAGGCATATAAATAATTTTGATAACTGAGTAAGTGCCTCTCATGAAGTAGAATATAAAACCATACATAGAGTAATTGCAGGTGTTTGTGTGCATGAATAATTATGAATGCATGTATATACATAATAATCACAAATATTTGTGTGTGATTATTTTTGGAGATTGAATTAAGGGTAAATTTTACTTTCTTCCTTACACTGTCCTTATAAAGCGTGATTAAATATTAAAGGAGGACCTTCAGGAGGGCTTCACTCTATGGGTTCTGAGCAGCAATGTCCAGGACACCACTGGCATCACTGATAATGTGCAGGACTGAATTAATTTAGTTTAAACCTTAGTTACTATGCTTTTCAGCATTTTTGTTGCGCAAGTTTTAACCCTGTATACTGTGTAGGCTTGCTTATGTTTCTTACTTTTAAACTTCATTTTTTTTTTCTCTCTCTGATGATTAAAGAAAAGCATGAGCTTCAGTCAGATGACTTAGCCATCTCCAAATCCTTTGAGGCATCTGGTCGGATATTTGTCTACCGGAAAGACCTGGCGGACACATTGGTAAGCTTCTCTAACATTGTGACTAAAATACACAAATGTCAGGATGGATGCATATAAGTGGATGAGTTCTAGTCCCAGGCCCTTTTTGTTTATTTTGAGACAGGATCTTGATAGTTACTAACTGGGCAAGACTGAGCTCAAACTTTGGATCCTCTTGCCTCAGCCTCCCAGAGTACTGGAATTATTGGCATATGTCACCATGCCCAGCTATTTTTGCTTCCTTCTGATTCCCTGGAATAAGGCATTTGAGATGAATGACTCCCTCTCCTGGAATTTTAATTCAGTTTCTTCTTTTTGTTGTATATATGGAGATTAGGCTGAGGAAGGCACCCTAGGTAGACTCCAAGGGAAAGAGACCCATTCCAGTTGATGCACTTGGATGTTCCATGTCCTTAAAGAAAGAAAGGACGCATCAGCCTTCCCTGTGAAGGATAGGGTCATAACCATAGGGCATGCGATGCCCCTCAAGAGTTTGATAAAATGTAGACCCATCCTTTGAGTCATTTTCAGTTTGAATTTGAAGAATGTATATGCTTGAATGGACCTTGTTTGCTGTTTTTCTACCTAAAGATCTCAGTCCTGAGGTTGCTTTCTGAAAGACAGGCCCTGTCTAGGTCCCTCAGCATCTGGAAGGAGCAGGCTATTCCAGTGGGTTCTGGTCCTCTTCTCTCATGGACTCCTCACGGGGTCCTAGCTGGCCCCTATTGAGCATACACTGTAACTGAAGGATCTTAATACCACGTGGGTTAACTAAAATTGCTTTACTAAAAATGTTTAATGTAAAATTATCCACGGGCTATTCAGTTATGAGAATAATGTCAATCACTGTCGCTTGGCATTCTTACTACCAGGCATGCGTCTGCTGGGTAACTTACACACAGGGTCTCATTTAACACTCGCACTGTCGCTTTGAGGTTTGGAAAGACTAAGTAACTTGCCCTGGCTTCCTGTAGCCAAATAAGGGTGAGAGCCAATGTTTTAAATCCCGTTCTATTTCACTCTAAAGCCCCTGCACATTCCTTTAATTTGTCGATGAGGAGGAGGAAATCCTTTGCTTTATTTGGACCTATCCTGTTCTGTCCTTCTGTGGGTTATGGTTGCTGTGGACTATCATCAGGGAAACAAGACAAACTGTGCAGCATTTTTTGTTTTGTTTTGTTTCTTGGGGTTTGTTGTTGGTGTTTTTTTGTCAGTACCAGGGATCAAACTCAGAACTCTGTACTTGCAAGGCAGGCACGGTGCCACTGAGCTAAATCCCTAGCCCCTGTGCGGCATTTTTGAGTAAAGTAGGAGATTGATTTTACTCCTCCATGCTGATATACAGCTGCTGGCGGGCTCCTTGTGGTGGAGGAGCCCACATTCTAATTGTCCTCCCTCCCTTCTCCCTCTGCCAGACGGCCTCCTGAAGGTCCCAGGGCTTGACTCTGCGACTGACTTTGGAGGGTGAAAGACAGGCCTGGGCGTGTCTCAGTGCAATGCAGGGGTGCTGTGTAGAAGGTGCTAAGAGGAATCAGACTGCGTCGTGCTTGTGAATTTCTCCCCCACCAGCTTTGGACACTGCCTCACATATCCCCAGGGCAATCATCCATTTAGGCATCTCATCCCTGGAATATTTCAGTCAAAACAGAACAATGAATCATACACGAAAGCACAGGTACCTACTAGCACCTTCACAGTAGTAAATTTTAGCAATGAGAGATTAGCACCATGGAGGAACAGGATAGAAAAACATAAAGTGTTTATTGGCCAGGGTAGTAGAAGTCTTTGAATAACCGAAGGATGCTACCAGAATAAGGGACACTTTTAGGAAAAGGTAAGAGGGATAGATAAGCCAAGTAAACGTATCCTTACAGCTCCAAATGATTCAGCAGGTATTGATATTGCTTCCCAACTCCTGGTTCTCCTTATGAGTCTGGGGCAGTGCGTCTAGCCCTTCCACTTGGCCAGTACCTGAGAAACCGTGTCTTGAAGATCTTTCATTTAGGGCTTTCTGAGCTCCACACTAAGTCTCACAGTGAGAATATAGAGGCATTTTGTGCCTAGACCTGTTCTGAGGAGAATCAGTTCTACAGGAAAGCTCTGTGAAGGTCTTTCATCATTACTTTTTTAAATTAGGATATTTTTTCATTAGTGAAAAACTTCTAAAATGCAAATGATTTATTTTTCAGGTTAGAAGTAGGGATTACTATTTGGCATATGAGATAGAGCCCCTTTATCTTACCATGTCGTTTATTTTTGCAAAGTCTCATTCTTTTTTGCTTTTCAGTCATTAACTATTCAAGTCCTGTCCCTCAAATGGGAGAATTTATATTCTAATTAGAAAAGATCAAGTACTTTGGGAAAGTGCCAAATTATTTTTTAATAACTTTAACAGTGATGATAGATTTAAAGCTGTGCTGGCATTTAATAATTTCATGCCACATTTTTGAGGAAGTATTGCTACTAGCCTCATGGTGATGCGGCTTCATTTATGTGGGGAAAGCAGCTGATACTTATCAGCTACTGTGGGGTATAAATGAAATTAGCTTCCGTGTTTTTATTTCATGTTAAACTTTTTCACTTTCCATGGACATACTAATAAAATTTGTAAATATATGTCTGGGATGAGATATATTAGACATATTTCTGTAAAAGCCATGTCTGTCTATATTGAAGTGCACTGTGACATTTCTTTTGTTTGTTTTTATACTAACCCTGCTGGCACATTAATTCTTACCAGAAGCCAAAGTGATTTCAGGGCTTTCGCTTTCATTATGCTGTCTGCCAGGGCAGTGTTTTATAATCAGATTTGTAGGTGGGTGGGTGTGAGCTTGAGGGCGATGCTGGAGGAAGGGCCGGCTAATTTAGTGAAATATCATTGATCACATTCTACTATTTCCAAGACTAGTTCCTAAATTGGCTGTAACTCACTGATGGTGAACAGACCAGGGGAAATACTAAGTGTACTTGGGAAAGATCACTTTTCTAATCTGGGCCTCTAGTGCCTTTCCACAGGCAGCTACTAGTCTATAAAACGTTTGGGACTAAGGATACTTTTGCTCCTGTCTGTTTAGAACCCTTTTGCAGAAAATGAGGACTCACAGCAAAGGTCAGTGAGAATTTTGGGAATGAACACTTGGGATCTTGCTCTGGAATTGATGAATTTTGATTGGAGTCTCTTCAATTCAATTCACGAGGTAAGTAGGGAATGAAAAGATTAAAAATGCTAATGCTGTTTTAACTGTGCATTCTTAAAGATATTTATTCATGTGGTCAGGTAGTTATGCTAGGGAGAGCATGGCCCAAAAGATATTTGGGGACTTGAAATATATTGGAAGTCTGATCCTCTCCTAGGGAAATCAGAATATATAATCTTCCTGTATTACTCCTAGTGCTTTTATATGTTGCATATTATATAAATTAATATGGATCTGCTGGATTTTTATGTTTATATACATTTATATGGGCATTTGATATACATATATGATGCTTAGAGATTAAAGAATAATTTTACCTTTGATATTCATATATCTATTTTTATGTTTACAAGTTATGCCAGAATCGTTTATATGTATGTATGTATACACGCACACACATTCATCCACTTAACAACATTTCATAAAATTTAGACTGTGCTGAAAGACTTTCTTATAAATTTTGGAAATTTTCAAATTTTTCTGTCCACCAATTTCTCCCTTGCAAACATTTTAAACAGTAGGTAAAGAGAAAAATGCTAATGAAAGTGAGTAAAGTTGGCTGGTGAAAGGCTCACGGGATTCAGGAGATGAAAACTGTTACAGCCTCATGTAACATATGTGATGAATATTCTGCCATTTGTCGAAAATTTTCATTCTGAAATGGCCTTTTCATCTAAAGAGGAAACCTCCTGCCCAATTTAGAGAACCTTGAGCTTCACTTTCATTTTGGAATGTCTTTTGAAGTGTTTCATTGGTAGGAGTGGTTGTGCGTGCCTGTAATCCCAGCACTCTTAGAGACTGTTATAGAGTGGGATGTCTTGCTATTTATGCACTGTAGAGTATGGATTCCTTGTATAAACATCCACTTGTTTAAAAATCTATTGTTTTATGTACTATAGTTACAGTCCTGCTTGTATATGTAAATTATTGGACCTTGCTCTTAAACTTATGTTCCTTTCTGTTTATTTTTTACTATATCTTATATCAGGGCTTTTTTAATAGGCAAGGCCACATTACCAGCACCACCTGGAAGTTTTCTGTAATTACAGGTTTTCATAGCCACTCATGGTGGCGTGCCTGTACGTAGTCCCAGCTGCTTGAGAGGATAACATTCCTCAAGTTCAAAACCGGGTTGGACAACACAGTAGGATGGTGTCTCAAAACAAACTAACAAAAAGAGAAAGAAAAGTAATGGCTTGTTTTTCCAGCTCCTCCACAGACTACTGATCAGAATTAGGGATGGGTCCAGCAACCTGAGCTTCAACAGTCCTCTCGTTTTTCTCCTTCTTACTAAAGTTTAGTGACTATTGGGTCTGATGTGTACCTTAGCAAATGCCCGTAGGGCTGGTGTCACTTTTACCTGGGTCTGATGTGTAACTTAACAAATGCCAGTAGCGCTGGTGTCACTTTTACCTGGGTTTTCCACATAACAAGTTTTAGAAGTTTGAGGATTCCATTTAGCCTTTGATTTTAAGCTTTAGAACACTTTAAATTTTCTTGTAAAGTTGTCTTCTTTATATACTGAAAAATATATTTTCACATAAATATTCTAGGTGACCATTATTGAATAAGGCATCTCTAAAACTAAAGAATAATCATTTTGAGTTAATATACTGTTGTTTGCTATGCTTCCTATTAACATATTAATGATACGGGAATAGCCTCCTGAGATGGTTTCTTAAAAATGCACATTGAGGCTATATTCTTAAGTGAAATTATCAAGACTGGCGTGTAAATACTGAATAGTTTCTCTGGTGTGAAAAATTAAAGTGTAAGTAAGGATCAAATTGTATAATTGATATTATGCAATAGGAAGAAAAGGTCAAAAGGAGTAGGGGAGATGGGGAAAGGTAAGAAGGGAAAAGAAAAAATATGAGAAAAGGAAAAAATGGAAACAAAGTCTTTGTAAACAGCGAAGGGTGGAGGAGGTAAAAGGAGGGCCAGGGGACGGGAAAAATATAAGAGCCAAGACCTGTCATGTAAAGAAAAGTACAAGATCCCAATGGTGAATGTCACTGTATTGTATACCTAAAATATTCCGATAAACTTAATGAAAAAGAAATGGACTGAATTTTATGTCAGCTTGACCCGATGCACTAAAAGTAAACCCTGGAATGAATGCATTTTCTTTCAGCAAGAGCTGATCTACTTCACGTTCAGCAGACAGGGAAGCAGCGGGGAGCACACTGTGAACCTCAGCCTCCTGCTCCAGAGATGCAATGAAGTCCAACTCTGGGTGGCCACCGAGATTCTGCTTTGCAGCCAGCTGGGCAAGCGGGTGCAGCTGGTGAAAAAATTCATCAAAATCGCAGCTCAGTAAGTTTCTCACAGTGACCTTCAGAAGGTACCTTGGTGTCTGTCGTTACCTGTCCCACTGTGATGATCAGAAGGGTTGGAAAGCAAAAGTTTTAACAGTGAGTTAAGGGACCAAATGGCTGGAAAGCTCTGTTCTTGAATACTTATGTCTTTGCATTTAAAATAGTTATATCTTAAAGTAAATGTCAAAATACCAGACTAAAGCTTGGTGTTCTCTACTTAGAACTAATTACCAGGGAGTACACAGTTGTACAGTATGCCTGGGTGGACTGCACTAGGCTAGGACAATGAGTTAAGACAATGTGAAGAAGTGAGAATCATTGAAAATCAGGCGCGTCTTGGGATCCCATTGCTTCTTGCTGCCTGCAGTGTGAACTCTTGCAAACTCATCATTAGAAGACCCTGCACTGGCAGGACCTATCTAACCCCGCGCCTTCCCTGGGTGCAGCCACGCACTCCAGCCACTGTGACTATGTCTCTCCTGCATACCATCCTTCAAGCTTGGACATGCGTTGGTTCTGCCCAGAATGGCCCTTTCCACCCAGCAGATTGCTGCTTTTCTCTAAGACCTTGGTCAAATGTTACTTTCTTCCAGAAGCCATCTCTGACTTTCAAATGCATGATGGTCAACTAAGTTCCTTCCACACACACATGAACCTTTTGCCTTTTCAAATCTTCCTTATTATATTTGTTAAGCCTATTTCATTTATACATGATTCTTTCTTTGGGTTTTGTTAGCTTCCAAAGGACAGGAACCATTTCTTTTTTTTTTTTTTTTTTTTTTTTTTTTTTTGGTACCGGGGATTGAAATCAGGTCCTTGCGCTTGCAAGGCAGGCCACCGATCCGCTGAGCTAAATCCCCAGCCCAGGAACCATTTCTAATAAATCCTTGTACCTGAGTCCTTAGCAGAGAATGTAGTAAAGAGCAGCGACTCAGTAAATGTTGGTTGGATGAAATTTTGGTAATGTTCTGGGAACATGAAACACTAGATTGGTGTCCTAGAGTATTGTTTGGACAGCTTCCCAACAGAAACAAGAGCCATGGATCAAAATCTTTCCCAATTCTTTTTGCTTCCCAGGTTTCCCATTGTATTTCTCTTTTTTGTTCCAAAGTAGATTTTTATCAAACGGTTTTCAAATACTGTTATCCTTCGTTATATATTTCCAGGGCATTAATTTTAAGATTGCCTTGGATTCCAGAATCTAAAGGTGCTCACATCCTTTATATCAAATGGTATGATATTTGCATATAACCTACACACATCCTCCTGTGTCCATTAAATCCTGTCTAGGTTACTGATATTACCTGTGAAATATAAATGCTATGTAAATAGTTGTATACTGTATCGCTTATGGAATTATGACAAGGAAAAAAGTCCATATGTGATCTGTACTGACAAAAACCATCATAGGTATATATATATATATATATATATATATTACAAGATCAGGGTTGGTTGAATCCACAGATGTGAAACCAGAAGACATGGAGAGCTGACTGTACATGTCAGTGCAGTATATTCAGGAAATACCTACTGATGATTCATTATTTGTGCACAACTGTACAAGGGGGTATGGGGAAATCAGGCTGAGTCTACACCCAGCCAGGCCCTGGGTTGGAGGAGCTTGGAGTTTTCTAAGTTACTTGGCAGCTCAGCCTGCTGCTGAGAGTAGAATGAGGGAGGGAGGCTCCTGTGAGATCTTGTTCTGTTGAGGGCTTTAGAGGAGGGAAGAGCTCATCCCAGGGGTCAGGATACATGGAGATGAAATTGACATCTGAGGATCTAAACTGTGGGTGGGGCTTGACGGGTAAGAGGTCAAAAAAGCACTCCATCCACAGAGGTCACTTAGCAGAGACAGAAGCAGAGCCTTTGGCCAGGCGAGGCAGCCTCCTCCTCAGATCTGGCAAGCGTGGAGGGCCATTTGTAAGGAAGCTCTGGGAGACTGGTGTGCAAGGGAAGATCTGGAAAGGATCTTGAATTTCAGCTGGATGCAGAAGGCAGAAGGGACCCTTTGACAGACAGTGAGCAGGAGACTGTGGTAGGATCAGAGCTGCCCTTCAGGAAGGCTGGCTGGAAAGCAGCACAAACTGCCCTACAGGCCAACAGTCCCTAAGCGTGGGATATTGCACTGACTGAGGCAAGAGCTTCTGAGGTCTGATGTGACTGGGGTGGAAGGAGAGAGAACAGATAGGCCTAAATCATAGACTGCTTTTTGTTGAGAGAAAAAAATCTTTTTTTTTTAATTCCGCCTACTTAAGTAGGTTCTAAAATGGGTTGTAAAATTTCTGAAAGTGAGGCTGTTTTGGGTTAAAAGCTTTCATATAAATGCCAGTTACAGAAAAAAATAGGACATAAATGTTCCAAGAAGTAAAATGACAGCACCCAGCTCCATTCCTACTATAAGATTGTATCTATCCTCAGGGAAATAAAATATATTCACACATCTTTTCCATATAGCTTGATGCTCTTGAATTATTTATGGTACTGGTCTCTATCCTAGCCCGTGGAGTAGAATGCCAAAGGAAACATAAGTTAAATTCCCGATAATCACACTAGTAGGAATAAACAAGGGGAAACCGTAATTTCCACAACCACGAAGTGTTTTCCCCGCCTGAGGCATCCGATTTGCATATTCATGTTTCCCCTCCTTTCCATCCCCGTCCCCCACCTCTGTGAATTGAGTAGATTTTATTTCTTCACACAGAGACAAAGGAGGATGTGCTGGACTGCAATGTTTAGTGTCAGACAGTTGCTCTTATCGCAGAATGAATGACTCATAGAAACAGAAGATTCTGACTGGATTAGTATATGATATTTGTCTACTATAGAAATTATATCTATATTTAATTCCTTTTTTTAAAGATTCAGATGGTGTGTGTGTGTGTGTGTGTGTGTGTGCGCTCAAGCGCGCGCGTGTTTGGGTGGGTGGGTTTTGACATGACTAATAAGAAAAGGTTATATGGATTAGGAAAATTGCTTGTGAGAAGCAAAAAGATAAGAAGATGGAAATCATATCTAAAATTTTATATAGAGAAATTATTCTAAATAAGAGTAATAATAAGTTTTTACCATGAAAAAATATGACAACTCCCCAAAAGTTCTTGTGTTCAAACTTGAGCAAATGCTATGTGAAAGACTTTTTCTACAATTGGTAGTTGGATATGGGCAGAATATAAAAAGTTGAATAGGCACACACTGTAGCCTTAACCAGCCCACTGTCAAATGGGGATGGCATAACTGGCAGGGCCTCCATCAGAAGAAAGATCCAGGAGTCCGGGAGCCCTCCAGCTGGGCTGCTTCTAGCAGGGGGATGGAGCATTTTCCTGACAAGAGCCTCAGCATAGGAGCTAGTATTTCAAACCATCAGTCAAGAAATAGATGACTGCCGTCTGTTTTGGCAGCTGTGAGCTTTCAAGCTATGTGATAAAACAGAAAGGACAGAAGGAAACAAGCAAATGGCAAAAGGAAGGGAGAGTTGTGGTACTGTACTGAAGCCTTAGGCAGCAGCGGTTCTCAGAAACGGGTGGTCTTCTAGGTCTAACGTTTTCTTGCTTCAGTTTATTCGTGGAATATTCCAAGCACCATCCGCCCAGAAGAAAGTTGGCAAGAAAGCAGGTGAGAGGGTCAACTGGACAGGGATCCAGGGCCTCCTTACTTACCTCCCAGACTGTGGGCAGAGCTAAATTCGGCAGGACTGACAAGGAAAGACCATACTGAGAGGCTGCACCGTGTGGTACCTGCAGGATGTGAGTGTCTGTGACCCCAGGTGTGGAGGCAGCAGTGCCTTTCCAGCTCCACTGTACACGGGTGTGGGCCTTGCTCCCTGTCTTGGAGCCCAGGCCCTACTAGGCAGGATCCAGTCCCAGGTCACAAAGCAAGCAGGACCTGCCAGAGTGCAGTTTCTGTGTTTCCTAGTTACCTGCCCAAATCGTTGCCCAGCTTTTGACCTCTACGTTCTTTCTCTCCCTGTGCCACTGGAAATTGTTATAGCTTTGGCAGATAGCAGTTTGTGGTATATAATAAAAAAACCTTTGAAGTCTTCATAGCTTTTGCCTTATTGTTACAGGAAAGTAACTCTTAACTTGTTAGATGTGCCGAGTTTGTGTCTCACAACTCCAAATAATGGCTGAGCCCAAGGACAAAAGAGGTGAAGAAGAGTAGGAAAGATTTATTAAGAGAAAGCTCCTGAGAGGCTGAGCAGTCCCAGAAGTTGGTTTCCGCTGAGGCCCTTCCTCTCGGAGGTTTTATACAGTAAAATAACATCACAGGTTACCTTGGATCAAATGTGATCAACCTGTAGGGTTACAACCAGCCACTTCGCTAATATTGATCCAATAGAAAGTCAAGGTACATAGTAAGGGTGCATAGCATGGAGAAGAACAAAGGCATTTCGAAAGGAGCAGGAGCAAGGCTCAGTGTTCTGGTCATCTATCTGCATCTGAGTTACATTGTTTCTCTGTGTTTGCTGTATTATTTAGGGTTACTGGACTGGATGGTGCTAATTACAGTGCAGCTTTGAGCTGGAGCTGTTGCTTCTCTCTGGAGAGACTCACAGGCCTAACCAACCTGTCCCTATCTTGGGCACCTAGTTTCTATTAACTTTGACCTCAAACACAGGCCTGCTTTGCCTGGTCTCTGCTCTGACTCCATCTCCCCTTAACATAGCCCCTTTAATCATCTATCAACCTGTACCTAACTTGACTATCTGCTGTACCATCGTATAATGGCTGGAGGTCTAATTTAAGGGGAAAAAACTTCACAAAAGAGCAAAAAATCCTGTGCATAAAAATATTTGTTGTAACATTTTGTATAACACATAGGAATGTCTCCACTAGCAGAGTAAGCAAACTATGCGGTCTGTTTTCGATGAAATTCTTCGTAACCATGGGTGAGGATGATAGAGAATCCATAGTGCACAATACAAGGTGGTATTTAACTAGAAAAGCAGGTGGAGTGGTCCAGACTCTGCTCCCAAATACCATATGGGACATGGGTGATGCTGTGAAAGTCGGCACAGGAGGGAAACTAAACTGACATACACCGTGCACCTGTTGGCAACCTGCTCACTGCTACACACAGCCAGGTTGTCTCATTTTAATTATCAAGGCTTGGATGTATCTTTACCACTTCTTACCTCAGAGGAGTTATTTCGAGCACTGTCCAGATAAAGAAGAATTTGGAATTCACAGCCTGTCTGGACTGACCTGGAAGCCCATGGCCTCTCCCAGGGCTTTGAAACTTGGTGTGAGCACAGAGTTGATTGATGTTATTCGGAAGGGATAGCCTCAGGGTGACCTACAGAGTGAATGAATAGGAGTCAGTGTGATCCTTCTTAATTTTTATTATATTTCCTTTACTTCTTCAAATGAGAAATCAAAGGCAGCATCCCCGTAGTCAATGCCATATTTTAAGTATGTGTGGGCTGTCGCAGCCATTTTGTTGGGGGCAGTGAAATGGGAGGGGGGACTTAGATCGCTGGGGTGAGAAGGGCTCGTCTGCCAGAATTCACAACAGTGTATCATGACAGCAGGGCTGCAGTGCTGTGCAACACGGCGTGGGTGCATAGAGAGGCATGGATTCAAAGAGCAGTAGGGACTGTGAATGCATACAGAATAGGTTTTAAAAGAGGAAGGATCTTATGAGATATCAGGAGTGTCAAGAGCAGAGACCTCTTCCTGAAGGCGAAGAGGGAATCACTTCTCTTGTGTTAGAAATAGCTAAGGGGCTGCCACCGCTGGGCAGGTGTTGAAGGGTACCGAGGCTGAACTCTGGCCTGAAAGGGGCCTTTCAGCCTTATCCTGCATGTTCGCCCCTTGGAAGAATGTTTCCTCAAACCGTCTTCTGCTTTGTTTTATTCCGTAGCTGCAAAGCCCAGAGAAACCTGAATTCTTTCTTTGCTATCGTGATGGGTCTCAACACTGCTTCTGTCGGCCGACTGTCACAGACCTGGGAGGTAAGCCTGGGGCTTTCACTGGGCGGGGAGAGAAGGCAACAGAACATGACAGAGGAAGTCTGGATTTAAACTAAATTCGCTTACATGGTTTAAATGAGATAAATACTATAAACTGAAAAATGAAAAAGTAATGTGTTAAGGTGATAGGAGCATTTCCATGAGATGGTCTTTAAAATGGTTCTTAATGCAAATTAAAACAACACAGCAATTCTGTCTTGACCCCAGAAAGAATGGCTATCATCAAGAAATCAAACAGTGCCAAATGCTGGTGAGGGTCCCTTCTTCATTATTGGTGGGAACGTAAACTAGTGCAACCACTATGGAGATTCCTCAGAAAAATAAACATCGAAATTCCATTTGTCCCAGTTATTCTCCTTCTAGGTATCCTCCCAAAAGAGTTAAAATCATCCTATTACAGTGAAACACACATACCCATCTTTAGAGCAATGCAAATCATAATAGCTAAAAACTGGAAACAGCCTGCATGCCCATCAACAGATGAGTGGATGAAGAAAATATGGCATTTACGGAGTGCTACTCTGCCATAAAGGATAAATCTGAGTCATTTGTAGGGAAATGGATGCACCTTTAGATCAAAATGTTAAGTGAAATTAATCGGACACACAACCTCAAATACCACACAGTCTCTCCTGTATGAGAAACCCAAAATATAAATAAAGAGCAAATCATAAGACAGATAATAGGGAGCAAGGAGACAGATTTGACTCAAATGGGAAGAAGATCAAGAGATGGAGCGGGTGGGGGAATGGAAGAGGATGGAAGGGAAAGAAAAAGAACTAAGATGTGGTGTGCCAGCTCCCCACAGGGAGTGTAGCCTTTAGGCACTGAAAACATGGACTAATAAAAAATAAAAATAAAACGGTTCTCTAATATGTAGGAGCAAGACAAACACTGTGAAGTGCTCCCCAGCTAGAATTAGCTTTCTCCTCGGGGTCCCTGGGTACCGTGGTCCCAGCTCTGTGCGAGCCTGCATGATGGAGAGCAGGGGTGACTCGGAAGGGCGTTTGCCGCGACCTTTGTGAACGTAAGCTCCAGGGCCTCTCCCTGGCAGGACCCGGTGTGTTCACACGGATGGTGTGTATCTCACGCAAGTTGCAGAAGTACTTTCATATTCCTTTTCTTGAAGAAGGCCTACAGAATGTAGTAAAGCTCAGGCCTCGCGAATGCTGGCTCTGCTGCTTTCTGCGTTGAAGGTTGTTTGGATTGTAGGATGGAGGAGCCCCCTGAGACTCTGACACACAGACTTGCGGGCCATGGATGGGAGAACCGACCCCAGAGCCCCTGCAGACTTACCAGACCCAGAAGTCAGACTCTGCCTCTCCCATCCCTTTGTTCTTCGTATTTGTTGCCTTCGCTGCCCTTTTCCTACTGACTGGCTGCTTCCCTCTGTGCACATTTCTGCCCTCATTTCTCGAGCGCCTTGTCTTCTCCCGGTGCGCTGCAGTCTGTGGCGGCTCACTGGTCCGCTCGGCTTCTCTCCACAGTCCTCTTCCATTCTGTTCCTCTCACGCTTCCTCACTCCGTGTTCCAACGGACGGGCCAACCTTTCTGTTCCACTGGATCTCAGCAGAGGTCTCTGGGCTGGCCAAGGTTCACAGTGCAGTCAGGCCACCCCCAGTGGGAGGCATTGGGGTGACCCAGGGGTCAGGGTCAGTGCACCTTAAATGGGTTCAAAAGAAAAGAAATGCTTTCCTGCTCTGGACAAGGACACAAGACGTTTTTCCTCACCCTAAGATTAAAGGAGATGAGTGACAGATTCCATAGACAATCCGAGCAGGAGGGAAACAGATGCTAGCAAGGGACTGTGGGGAGTGGAATTAGCGTTAAACCTCAGAAGAAGTATTGGGAGGAAAATGATTCAGTTACACTCACAGAGCATGCATTTAGTCAGTGCCTTGACTACCTGCTTTGTGCAGGGCACTGCATTGGCGCGGGGCAGATAGAGACAGTGTGCACGTGACGAAGGGACTTCCGGACCAGTCCCCCTGGGCGAGGGAGGAGCAGGGGGCCGATCCCCCTGAGCTGAGGGACTCAGTGAGAAGCCCCCGGCAGCAGGGCCTTGGAGACTGAGTTGGGAATTGCTGGAGGAGGAGCGGGGATCCCACACAGAGGTGTCCACGAGATCTTTCAGTCTGGTGACTAAACATTGTCCTAAGTGGTTAATGTAGGAAAAGAAGCCAATCTGAGGAACTAGATTAGCGGTCAGCAACTGTTTAGTAAAGGACCAGATGGTAAATGTTTTTAGGTAGTACAAGCCCTCTCTCCTTAACTCAGACACTGTAGTACAGGGATACCATGGTAAGTATACAAATGGATGGCCACGGCAGTGTTCCAATGAAACCTTAATGATGAAAGCAGTCAGTGGGCCAGATCTAGCTCAGGGCTGATCTCTGCAGTATATCAAATTAACAGACGTGTTAAGTTTCAGGTGCCACTTCACGTAGGAGATCAAACAAACCAAGATTTGCAGCTCAGAAGAAACAGTAAAGAGTTGGGTGTTATGGGGAGGCTGAGGCAGGAAGATCGCCACAAGTTCAAGGCTGATTGGGCTATATAAAAAGATCCTGTCTTGGAAAAAAAAAAAAAAGAAAAGGAGGGAGGAGGAGGTGGAAAAAGGAGGGAGAAGAAAGAAGAAACAACAGTGGAAACAGTTGCAAAAGTCTACATTTTATATTTTCTCATTCATTCATGGGGAGGGAGCAGTGGTTTCCAACAGACTGAACTGTCTGTTTGCAGAAATAATCCAGATGCAGAATGGCCAAATTGAAAAATCAGTTTATAATAATTTTAAAGTCTAATTACTGTGGAGTTTGCCTCATTATTTTGATTCAGTTTGGAAACAAAATCCCACAGACATCTTCTTAAACTTTCTTGTTGATAGCTGGAATTTAATAAGTGTCAACCATGGGCTCTACACATGTCACGAACTGTCTCTGTGTGTATAGCTGAAGAAACTGAGATCTTAGAGCTTGGAGACTCACACCAAACCACAGAGCTGGAAAGGGGCAGAATCAAAATTAACCCTGAGCCTGACTCCAGGCAAGAGCTCTCTGCCACAGAAGGTCACTAAGTCAGTATGAAAGGCATCCAGCTCTTAAAGTCAGCCTGCAACCGGGCCAGGGATTTAGCTCAGTGGTTCTGCTGCCTACCTCATAAGTGCAAGGACACGAGTTCAATCCCTCGTACCAAAAAAAAAAAAAAAAAAAAAAAAAAAAAAAAAGTCAGCCTGGGACATTCCAGGTGGGTTCCCCCCCATCGTTTTGGCCCAAATGTTATGTTCCCATCCTCTGTCACTGTGCATGCTGCCTGTTGGTGTGGTCAAGCTTTATAATTCAGTGATTCCGCCCATAAAAGTGCAAGCTTAGTCACCAAGGTTTTCATTCCCTCACTATTTAGCCCTTTGCTGTGAACTACGATTACATCATTTATATAAAAACTGTCAGCCAGCATTATTATTTTGCACTCAGCAAGACTGTTAAGATGAGCACACTCACCAAAGATAGGATATGGAATTGGAATCTAAGTTTTTATTAAATCATCACCAGTGTGCAAAAGGTCTAACCAGATAGATTCCTGAATCGTGGAGCTGTTGAGCTATTTTTAGCAACATTCCTCAGGAGCATCCTATGAAAGATGATGAAATGGTATAATAGGCAATCGAGAGAGCCAGAGGCAGAGGTATTTATGTTCTGAAATGTGGCACAGGTAAGCACAACTTAATGAACAATTCTCTCTGTGCTTCTCAAAATAACTAACTTCTGTGAACTTTTGGTTTGTGTGTGTGTTGTTGTTGTTTTTCTTTTTAGAAAATCCCTGGCAAGTTTAAGAAACTTTTCTCTGAACTCGAAAGTTTAACAGTAAGTACTTGGACTAAAGAGGACTTATTCTTCTAATGAATCTCCTAGATTACAGTGGTCAGCTTCTACACTCCATGATGTCAAGTAGCTTAGACTAGTTTGTGTGCATATGAAAAATGTAGCTTTGCTTCTTAAGGAATGAGGCAAGATGACAGTTCGTGTTTCTTCCTCTCCCTCTACAAAGGTGATAAGCACAGTCCTTTTAGTGCAATTTTCAGAAGGCTAATTTTTAAGCATATTCCAGTTCAAAGCCCACAAAAGGAATCAGCATAAACTTAGTGTGTAATTAGTGTTGCATGCATTATTTTTTTCCTAGTTTTTGCTCTAGATACAAAGTGTATAGTTTCTTTTAGAACACAGTAAAACAGTGCTCTCTTGTTTTCTCTGTCTGTGCATGAAGAGGGCAGTTTTTCTCTGCAGTTCACCTAACAAAAGACCAAGGTTACCTCATGATTGAAATTATGCAGAGGAAACTGTACTTAAAAAACCTATTTGAAGAAAATAATAGGGCAATCAAAAGGTGTCTTTCTTTTGCAGTCATTTCCCTTTATTGTAAACCAATAACTTCAGTTTCATTCATTGCCTAGATTTCCTGCCCTAATTTAGTGAGTTTATTCTCCTAGGAAACCTTTATCTACTTCATTCTTGGGAAGAACCTCTCTATATCTAAATCATGTTCAAATTGTATAAGAAAAGTAGACTGAGAATTGTTTCTATCACACATTGATTTTTCTTCCTCCATGTAATCTGCTTGGTTCGGCAGGATCCTTCCTTAAATCACAAAGCCTACAGAGATGCATTCAAAAAGATGAAGCCGCCAAAAATCCCTTTCATGCCCTTATTGCTTAAAGGTAATGATTTTCCATCTTTTTTGCTATGTAACTCCATCATCTAGAAATTCTAACTATCGAAGGCACAAAAGGAATCCTCAGTATATTGCATTGCAGTCATTCTGACATTCAATTTTGTTTGCTCTTGATAGTTTTTAAATATTCGACTATTTTTAAATACCTAGAATGCGTAATTGTGCTTGAACAGATATCTAAGCATTTTACACTTGACTCATCACACTTGACTTTCATGTTTTATTTTATGTTGCTTCTAATTCCTGTATTATTTTCTTTTGAATCTGTGATGTAGTTAATTCAAACAAGAATAAGGCAGGCATAAAAAACCCAAATGGTGATAGGCTGTGCTCAGAGATACAACCCACAGTGCAGTATCATATGAGAAATCCCTTTGGTCAACACAAGCATGTAAGGCATAGTGACCATTGGTAGTGTACTTCCTGTTCCCCAAGCATGGGATCCACTTGGGAAAGTATCCGACAGCTCCAGGTCAGACCGCTGAGCTCTCTTCTGTAGATCACTGTATAATTTGTCAGGAACCCTGTCAATTAAACTGACTGGTGTCTCAGTCGTCTCTCTTTCAAACAAGGACATTGATGAAAGAGCTCTCTGGAATCTGGCCTACTCTCCTAGCATTCTGTGTACATCTTCTCCTGTGTGCTTCCTGGGGAGCCAGAACTGGGGAATTTTTCCTGACTGTATTTTAATTCTTTCACATAATTTTACAGAAATACTCCTTCATCCAGCCTCTGTCCTCAGAGGTAGCTTCTGCTGGGTCAGGCCTTTCTGAAAGTGAGTTGCCTGAGAACCGCACTGCTGACTGGCCCGGCCCCCTCCTCCCCTCCTCCCCTCAGTACCTCCCCACTGGCAGTCAAGTGACATGGCCTTTCCTGCCGCTCTCAAGAACCACCAGTCTGGAGAGTTGTCGTCATTTGCTGGGCATCCCTGCAGCCACTCATTTAGTCATCTAGTATGAAGCCAGAGTCCCTGTGAAGCACAAATGTAAGAGGAGGACAGTTGAGAGATGCACAGAATGCTTCACTCAAGCTGAACAGATTCTGTTAAATACAAAGGGATGAAATAAGGGGAGATTGCAGTGCCAAAATAACAAGTTAGAAGTTCATTTGACTGAGTTTTCTTTTCTTCACTTATTTGCTTTTAAGATAAGTTTATTCAGGCTCCTGCTTTTTATTTGTGAAATAAAATGACGTGTAACAGTAAATACTTTTAAGGTTATAAGAAATTAGTGGATAGTGTCCCTTTAACTTAATTAGAGAGCAGAGCTTTCTTCTCTGCATTTGTGGTTCTTCACCCAAAATGTTCAGTGCACTGAAGTGTCTCGTGCATCTTAGCTGGATGCAATTTTCTGCTCTGCTGAGTTTATCTAGACCTTTTTGTTGGCAGCAAAACAAATTTGCCTTTTTGCTACTGAAATACATTGACTCATTGCAAAAGAATAGGAAGTAAATTAAACATTTTTCTTTTCATTACAAGCCTTCTTGACTTTAAATAAGCACTGTTTTTCCTTTATCTTAATTTTTATTAATATAAGAATGAAACAATGTCAGCTTCATTCATTCTTTGGTGAAAGTTACCATTTCTGTCAGAAATCATTTCCAAAGCCAAAAAGGATGAAAATTTTGAATAAATGATAGATAATCATGGCTGAGATGAAATAACATGGGAAAACTACACAACTATAATTCTTAGGGGCTTTTTGGGGGGATTGTGGTTTTGGGGGATGGATTTTAGGGGTTGGTTTGGTTTGGTTTTTGAGAACGAGTCTCACTATGTAGTTCAGGCTGGTCTTCAACTCACCCTGTAGCCCATCGTGGCCTCGAGCTCCTGGCAGTGCTCCTGCCCCAGCCTCCTGAGTGCTAGGGTTATAGGCACATGGCACCACACCTGACTTCTTAGGTTTTTAAAGTTGCAAAATTATTTTTAAAATTATAACGAACTATGTTAGAGCAACTAGCTGAATTTTTAATAAAACCTCTTGTTCCTACCTCTTTTGTGCACTATATTTTGAGTTACTTTTAATTAGAAAATAAGACCAAACTGAACTACTTTGGGGGTTTAGGAAAGATTAGGCCTCCCCTGTTTCAGTTACTGAAATAGTAAATCCCCAGTAAATACACAGATCATCAAGTAAATAGATTACCTGAGGGTCCTTTAGCCATCAGCTTTCCTCTTTCCCGGTTGACTTGTCTTGCTTTTTGATATACTTTGCCCTTACTGTGGTGTGGCATCAGCTCTGAAAGGGATTAATGAGAACCCCTAAGTCGGTGTTGGGAAAGCACCCTGCTAAGCTGCGTGTGAGTAGTGTGAGTGCAGCCTGTGTGATTTTTGGAGACGGTGGTTCCTTGCATTACATGAACGATCAAGAGGTATTGGAGGAGTAACTGATATTCCTGTGGGAGGTGTTTATATTTTTGAATGAAGATTATTGTTGCAGATTTGTGAGAAAGAATGTGGTGTATTTCTGCCTCGTTTTCCACTCGCCATTTCTTCAAATAATGCCCCTTCATCCCATAGTTCTGTTTATGAGGAGTTTCAAGAGTGTCCATTGTCTCCAGGTGAGAGGGGCCTTGCGAGTCACTTCGTACAATTTAAATTGTCACATTTGAGTTTTGGGAACCAAACGCCGGTTCCTTGCTTTTCATTCCCTCTTCGTCACACACCTGCCACTTAATAGCATCAAAACCTTCAGCCTCTTGAAGGCCTTGTGCTTCCTTGGATTGCAGCCCTCAAGCCCCCACCTCTGCTCCCCGCTCGTGAGCCCCCTCTGCACCTTCCCTTCCTTGTACCCATGATGGCATCAGTTGGCCAGGCCCCTGCGTGTCGTAGAGCAGCTGTCCCACCTGCTGCCTTCGAAGCCCTGAGAGTTACGAAGAGGGAATTCCCAGGAAGAGAAGAGATTTCAGGCAGGAGGGAAAAGGTGCAGGGAGTGATGAGGGAGACACTCAGTAGGTCGAATGTAAGTGGCAGTAAGAAAAATCCAGGTCTTTTTTTCCCCCTTGGAGAAATGGGGGTCAAACCCAGGGCCTTGAGCATGCAGGGCAAGGCCCTTTCTCTCAGCTGTATCTCCCGCCCAGTCCAGCTCCTCGAGAGGCCCCCAGTGGAAGAGATCCAGCCTCCCTGGGTTTGAGGCCTGGCTTTGGCACTTGTATCTAGGAGCACAGCTCAGCTGTAGCCATTCTTTGGACGCCAGTTTCTTCACATGCTTCCCCTCTAGAGTTTTATGTCTGGTGTTTTTTCAAGAGGAAGTGTGTTAATCCAGGTAAAGCACTTCAAACTGTGTCTTGCATTACTGTCACTGTCCTCCTCCTCATTACCTATAGGAATGTAGGAGAGCAGTGAAGGCGACAACCTTATAACCCTGGGGAAAAGGCCCAGGCAGCTCCGAGTGACATCTGTAGCCTGGACCTTTGGGAGGAAGTCGAGGCCCAGTGTCCAAGGTATTTAGTGTAGACAGAGTGAGCGCAGTTTGATCTGCTGTACATAAAAGGTAAAAGCCAACTCTTTTGACCACTGTTTTATAAATACCATCATGGAATGAAAGCTTACAATTACTTGCAAAGTAGCAAAAGATAATAAAATAGTTTGTTAGAAGATTGTTTTATTGCTTGTGAATCATTTTGCTACCAGAACATCAGTTTAAAAGAAAAAAATAGGAAGAGAAGCTCATGGAAACATTACAGGCCATTCTGGAAGCTGTGTGCAAGGGATGCCGTGGGGACGGAGTGTACCACCTCAGAGCTCGGTGCTCCAGGGTTTTGAGGGACAGTTTCAGGAGCACCTACTTCATAGTATCTCCTGTGGATCCGCAAAATGAGTCTTTGGGTAAATACGGTCTCTTTCTAAGAGTTTCGAAGTTGTTATTTTCCCTCTTTTCTAACAGATTAGTGAAGTTTTTGAAAATAGTTTTAATTCGGTTGACCTTCCATGTTTTTGGAACCTGAGTAGTTAGTTGTCTGTCCTGTGATTTGTAGTGTGTTCCTTACCGTGATCCTTGTCTTCAGGGGTTTCCTCGCACTCCGTGTGGATCCTCTGATCTCATTTTGTGTACACGGTTCTCAGAGCTCCAGGTGCTCGTTATTGTGTCTGACTCCCAGATCCGCATCTGTCTTATTTGTCTGTCCTGGTGGGACAGGAAGGCAGCAGGCACTCTACCATTGAGCTGCACCTCCTGCTCCTCCTCTGTCTTAAATCTACTGAGTCTCAAGTCAAATTTAACTTCCCTTCCTCAAAATGCACTTTCGCTCCACTTGCCTTGTTTTGTTTTGATCATTGGTGCTTTCTTTCTGCCCAGTCCGAAGGCCTGACAATCGTGGGTGTTTTCAAACCTGCCTCTTTCGTTTACTTTTTTATTTTTATTGATGCTGGAGATGGCACCCAGGGCCTCTCACCTGGTGGGCAAGTGTTCTCCTGCTGTAAGATGTTCCAGCCCCTCACTCACTGCGAGTACACAGTCAGGTACTGGCTTAGGAAACCAGAAATTTAAATTTAAACATCCAGATCGGACTCGAAACTGTTTTATGTAAAGCCAGTCCCATAAACTTTATCAGGATTTGTGTTTTTTTTTTTTTTGAAAAGCAAACAAAAATATTACAAATCCTGTTGTTTGTAAGCATTCATTTATTTTCTGCTCAGTCTTCTGACTTATAGAACAGACCAAATGAGATACAAGATAGCATTAACTTTTGCAAAGTAGATTAAACACTTAACTGTAAGTGCAAAATTGTTCTTTCAATAATGTTACACAGTCCCCACCACCACCCCTTCCCTGCACAAATCATTCATTTTCCCATTAGATAGTATGATTTCAAGTTGCCTTACCAAATGTATGGAATAATTCTGAAATATTGAAGGAAAATTCATAAGTTGGATTATATTTCTAGACTTCAGCCTTACCACATGATCCACTCCTAATGATACATACATATATATCTTTGTTTTTGTTTCCAGATGTAACATTTATTCATGAAGGAAATAAAACGTTTTTGGATAATCTTGTCAACTTTGAAAAACTGGTATGTAAATTTCACTATTTCTCCCTTTTCTCACTGAAAAGAAAATGTATGCTTGTCTTTCCTGCTACGGCAAACTAATAGTGTGATCCTTTGTCTCCAATGAACCTGAGCTTATTTGCTGCATGTTGTACTTTGTCAATACACAGTGTTTCCCAATTAAAATAAGTGTGCTTGCAAGGGTTTGAGAACCAACCAAATATGGAAATGTGCCTTTCATTTTTAAAAATGACTCTTCATTAGATTAACATCAGTGTTTGAGTGTGCTTTATGCTATTAGAAATAAAAATGTAGGGCTCCAGTCGGAAGTTTCTAGTCACCAGCTGAGCCTTGCTGCTGCAGAGGCATCTCCTGGTGCCTCAGTGTGCACTGCTGTTCAGCCACTGGCAGTAAAGTCCTCCTGGGGAGACATGTCAGCTCTCCAGTACCCTCCCCAGGCTTGGATATATGAGCCTTGGATTTCTGGATCTGCATGTGGGGGAAGGGCTACCCCCATTACTACCCCCGACACAGGGTCTCCTTGCTCATGAGTGGGGGTCCCCACTCTGCTACATGTTCCTGAAGTGCTTCCTCCAATGTGACTTCCAGGACATTCCAGCACTTTGTCCTGCAGTGGTCAGAGGGGGTTACCTGTGAGAACAGGGCAGTCCTGATATAGGAGCACACCAGAGACCCACGACGGCGGAGTGGATTTATCTGACAGATGAACTCTAGTGTCATAGATTAAACATGCCATCGTGGTTAAGGATGATCCTGGTAACCCTTCTCTGGGGATCCTGACCTTTGAGGACCTTTTCAGTAACAGTGATGGGCTTGTGGGAACTCTTTCATCAGCTGACCCCTATTCCCATGAGACTGGGTCAGGCCTTTGAGGCAGGGGCCACAGACCATGACCAAAGAACACACTAGATGGATGTGTACCCATGAGGGCTGGCGTCTGGCCTGTGCCCACCACACAGGACATCAGCCAGGACAGCATGGCCAGCTTGTGCATGGCTCCACGAAAGCACCCAGCTGGAATCTGACAGGTGTCTTTGCACACCTCTTCACATCACAACTCCCTTTAAACCACTTGTGGCTTAAACCACAATCCCTTCTGGCTAGTTATTTTTGAAATGGAAATGTCGATAACACTTTCAGTTCTCTGCAGTGTTTTAGAGTCAGAGCTCACTTGTTTTAAGTGCTATAGTCAAACCAACACAGCCAGAAATGGATCAAGTGTTCCTTTTGTGTGTGCTGCTGTGTGATCTGAAGATCACAGAGCACCTGTTAGCAACCAAAGGCTGGAGTCACTAGAATTCTCATCTCCAAGCAGGTTAAGCTCTAGTGCTTGCTGTTAATGAAATGATTGCAGTCATATGAAGCTTCTGATCAGTATGTACTTTGCCTGCTGGCCAACACATCAGGTTAAGCACACCAAATGAGCTCTGTTGGGGGCGTGTATGAAAATGCTCAGTGAGATTGGCACACCAAGGAGTATTTCCCAGGAAGGTCTGGTCATTTTGCCCTCTGACCCAGAGGGAACACGGGAAAACAACTGTACTTTTGATAGTCAACTGCAACCTATTTGAAGAGCAGATTGGTGGCTGAACTTGTCCTTCATGTGAGCCAGGACCTTGAAGATCATTGTATCATTCCCTTCAGATGATGTCACCAAAGTGAGAGAGCAATCCCATAAAGGCCCAAATGTGGAAAGATTTCCTATATCCTTCCTACACTCTTTCTTACCGCAACCTGTGGTCTTTTCTGCTTTCTACAATAATCCATCAGAAGCTTTTTTTTTTTTTTTTTTTTTTGGTATCAGGGCTCAAACTCAGGCCCTTGTACTTCCAAGGCAGGCAGCGGAACCACTGAGCTAAATCCCTGGCCAATAGAAGCCTTTTAATGCCAGTTTTCATGTGCTAAGACCCCAACTCAAAACAGGGATTAAAACAAAGCCTTGATAACTCAAAACAGGGATTAAAACAAAGCCTTGATAATACTGATTCCATTAGGGTCATTAATCATGTCCTTAATTCTGTAACAAAGTTTAAGAAAATAGCATGGGATAAGTAATATTTTATTTAAAATTCCTAACAATAATTTTTTTTAAAGGAACAGAAAAATGGGAGCAATTGTGAATGCACACTTGCAGCCCATAGCACATACACACTACCATCAGGCAGTTGCTGGCACATCTTTTATAGCAAGAGCAGATTTTGTGGTGCCAGTGAGCTCAGGTCCTCAAATCAGATAGCACTTCAGACTCTGCATGCCTTGGGATGACCCCTCCTTACATGCAGAAGAAAGGATGAAGTTGGAATTTTTTCCAAAAGGCAAAAATCAACTGCATATCGTACCTAGACCTATAGTAACATGACTGCTGGAGGGAAAGACTGCCCTTCCTAGTAGACCCAGTATTTGTGAGGAATGTCTCTTAGCAAAGGACATGGTTTTGCTGCAGCTAAAACAGGATCATCTTTCACAATAATGAACCAGTAGAAACTAAGTGAATTAACTTGTAAGAAGCCAATTCCTCATGATGGATATTAACTTAAGCCAGCCAGCAGATAATTCAGTGTATTATCTTTATCTGGCTGACACAGGCCAACACATTAAATCAGACCACATGCAGATCTAGAAGTGCTCGTAGGGTCTAATAAGATTTCTATTGTTCCCTGGGCTAAGTTCCTTGCTGCCTCAGCAACTCTAAATGTTTCTATCTACAACTATTAAATGATGAAGAAACAAAGGGTTTCTCCTTTTTGTCTCATCCCTCAGTGTTATGAGTATCATCTTTTACCATAGCTCCCTCCCTCCCCCTAAAGATGAAGCCTAAAGATGAGAATCGGGACTCAGATTTCAATGCTACATTAGGTACCGAGCCTTAAATCAGCTTGAGCCTTGCCTGAGCTGTGCAAATGCACATGATAGAAATCAATATGACGCCCCAGCTTAAAATGAGAAAACTGTCCTGGGAATAGGGGTAAAATTTGGGGAAGCAAATTTAACAATGCATTTACACAGACATGAGTCAGGTCTCATTTCCTTTGCAAATGCCGCTTGAGCTGCTGCTCTAATCACTGTCCCAGTTAATTTCCCACTATTGAGTGGAAGTACATTAGCAGCACAGTTCTCAGAATTTAATCAGTAGGTCATTTTCAAATAACATTTCTGAGGGAGAAATTCTTTAGTGTGAACATTATACTTTCAGCAGTAATTCAGTGAGGGATTGCTGTGTGCAGGTGATCTGCGTTCAGTGTGTGCAGGACATGAAAGATAGGAGCCAGTTGGGGGCTTTGGAGGGCCAGACAAAAGTGATGTTGATTCTTGAATAACACAGTATGATGTTTGGATTTCTATAGGAAACGAAGTAAGGAGTCACTACAGATTCTCCCAAGGACTAGAACATGATGGCCACAGTATTTAGAGATTATTCTGGCAGCAGTGTAGGAGGAACTGTAGTGGAGGATGGTCTCTTCTAAAACACCACATTTTCATTATGGAAAACCAAAAATGGCTGAGACAAGTAGAAAACAATTGTAGATACTGAAGTAGGAGGTGTTGGGAATCTTGTTAATGACAGCTGCAAATTGCAGAAGACTTTTGCCTGGAGATCAGTGAAGACTTTAAAGAAAGAAAATACTGAAGGCATTAAGAGGGACTGAAAATTATAAGCAAATGTATATGGTAAAGATGTTGATGTTGTAGAAAATGCTCATCTTTCACAAGTACCTCAGTTTCTACCACCATTTGAGCCTTTTAGTGTATAAAACCTCCTTACCCTGTGCAGCACATCTGTGTGAGTCTGTTTGCATGACACATGGTAGTTGCTGGGTGTGCACAGCCCTCCAGTGGTACTTGGTGGGGAGGAGAAGAAAACCAACAGCAGAGATAGTGACACAAGCTGAGTACACACCGTACAGAGAACCGTGAGTGTGGCGAGAGTGGAACTTCCCAAGGCCAGAGGGGAGATCCCAGAAAGGCTTATTGCTTCACCATACATTTTCCCATGGTGGATCTGTACAGTGTGGGAGCCACTACTTTTGCAGACAATGACTAAAATATTATCTGCAGTTCAAGTGCAACATAATCATTCAAATATTGTTCTCTCCAAGTATGGCACATTCATTTACACCCAACTTTGGTGTTAGACCTTAGATTGTCCATCTATCACAGCCGCCACTGCTGCCTCAGCAACACCCTGAGTGACCCCTCCTTCCACTGATGTGTTTCCTTTGTTACCTTGCAGCACATGATTGCAGACACCGTGCGAACCCTGAGACACTGCAGAACTAACCAGTTTGGTGAGTAATTGAAATAAGGCGTGGCGTGTATATTGACTGCATTTGGTCCTGACTCTGAGTGTGTCACAAGAATGCTGGTAATAAATTTAAACAGCGTGTAAAGTGTAATATGTACGTGTGTGTGTTTGTATGTATGCATATTGTACACATATTCTAGATTCTCACTTTGTTAGCTCACTGGGATGTTTGGGATTGGCAAAAGACAGAGTGAGCCAAATCGTTATTCACTCATGGAACCAAGTTTACCAGAGGGACTTCAGACAGTCAGAGGCTCCTCACCTCACACCACCCCCCGACCCCAGAAAGTCTTGCTTTGCTTCCTCTGTACCTTAGAATGCACTGGTGAGGTAAGCAGAGTGACTTTGCCCTGGCCTCCTTACTTAGGGCCTCCCTGGAAAAGGGCTCTAGTCTCTAAAAGTGTCTAAAGCACATTCTCACTCCCTTCTCCTCTCCAGAAAAACCTCCCTGCCTAGAGCTGCCTTTCAGCCAAAAATGTATTTTTCTGAGGACATTTGTAGGTTCCCCACTGAGACTATGTAGGAACATTTGTTCCATTTTAAATCTCAGGCATCACTCACGATGTGTTTAAATGGTGTGAGCGCATTGCAGGAAGGAAGGAAATCAACTTTGCTGAGTTGAAGGAGCCTTCCCACGGGCAGGAGCAGGGACGGCGAGGCCAGTCCTAGTGAGTGGGCGTGTTAACCCCTGCGGGTACAGGACAGAAAACAGGTTGTAGAGGTTAACTTGAAGCAGCCATTGCTCAAACTGAGACTGTCTGACGTTCTTGCCCTTTGCTTCACTCTAGGCAGGTTATATAAATATAAAGAACACAAGTATAGGTGCGGGAGATTTGGCTCAGTGGTTCCATTCCCTGCCTCACAAGCACAAGGACCCGAGTTCGATTCCTGGTACCAAAAAAACAAAACAAAAAAAATGTATAGAATTCTAACTATAAGTACAACAGTGTATACAGAAAATCAGAGTCCCACCTCCCAAGGAAAGCACTACTGTATAAACTGACTGCAATTTTATCTTTATAGCACCTTGTTTTCCAAACTAAAGTGAACTAAACCAAAAAGGAGCTTCTCAGTGTCTTCCAGCCATAGCATTCTAGAATAATATAATTTTTGGTCATGGTAAAAACTTCAACACCCAGTACTTTTACTTGCTGAAATCAGGAAGCCTTGCTCTTAAACCTAGGAGTTTCAAGCCACTCAGAAAAGTCTTGTTATTTCCACATAAAACATATTTGTCATAGAAGAGTGGGGATAAAAATTTTTTACCTAGAGAAAAATGTGCTGCAGCGAAATCCCCAGCGTCCAGCGTTCCCGTCCTCTTTGCTCAGCCTTCACTGTGGTGTCACAGCCCGCTTGTAGTCCTGTGAAACGAGAGGATACAATGTCACCATCCCTCACACCCACCCGGTCCACCCATAGTGCTATTAAACCGGTGGCCCCTTTTAGCAAGTCGTGTTGTGTTTGCTTCTTTTGCACTACTTTACTGGCCTCGCCCTTTGTCTGTGTACTTGATCTCTGGCTTCTTCACTTGATCTTAGCCAAAAGGCTGAGAAGTGATGATCTCTGGCCTCATCAGACTTGTCACCAACACAGCGCGTATGTGTTTACAGCACACGAACACCCTTGTGGCCCCTCAGTTCTTTGACTGCCCTGGGTCTGTGTGTGGTAAAATCCCTTGCCTCGTTCTTATCTGGGCAAACTTCAGCCCATGCACTTAGTTTCTTATCCTGCTCTGCCTGTTAACCCTCCCTGAGGTTCGGTTCTGTGGTATCTGTTCCTTCAAATGTTCGTTACGTCTTTATTTTTAAGGAAAAAAAAAAAAATAAGGATACTATGGAAGTATACAAAATCTAAAAAAAGAAAAGGGAAAAGGAATGGGTGTCGTGTTCATATGCTAAATAGATTGCCTGATTCCTGAAAATTCAAGACTTCGAGCCATTGCAGACCATTCAAATGGGCGACTGCTAGGTGGACTCAGAAAACATAGGGTCTAGGTTCAAAGCCTGCCTGTGCTACTTGTGTGACCGCTCACTATCCTCGCCCATGGAGAGAGACAGTAGCATGACATCCGAATAGTATATACCACCAGGTAACAACTGCTGTCGATACCTTGCCGGGCTGACTTCCCAGCCCTAGGAACCTAGTCTGAGGCATTTGTACTCTTAGAAAAGGACTGATTCCAGGATTCCAACCACCGAGACAGGGTTTCCTGGTACTTAGAAATAGCGTCATTGCTCTCATGAGATTGATTGTTGGTTTTTCCTCTAAAATGTTAATAGGAAGTGACATGTCTCCAAAGGAGCACCGCGAGCTGAAGTCCTACGTTACCCACCTGTATGTCATGGACAGCCAGCAGGCCCTGTTCGAGCTCTCCCACAGGCTCGAGCCGCGGGCATGAGCCTCCCCGCACCTCCTGTGACTGCTGCACTTCGAGCCACCGGAAGGTCTCTGCCCAGCGCGTTGCTTCCTGTGAGAAAAGAAGTTGCTGAGTTTTATCAGTGCATCGCAAGACGTGCACAGGAAAGGCAGCCAGAGTGTGTTCAGGAAGTGATGTCAGCCACCAGGGATGGGAGGGGCCCCTCCACGACGCTCTTGGAGCGAGAAGGCAGAAAGAGCCGGCAGCGTTCTTGGAACAGAGAGGCCTGGTTTCTTATCATCACGTTGTTGATCCTGTGCAGGTTTCAGTTGCGATGTGCCAGCTCTGACAGGAGAAAGCAGCCTGACACACAGTGAACAGATATTTCAGTATGAGCGTGGCTGCAGCAGGAAGACAGATTCCTGCCTTTTGGCCATCAGAGGACTGGGAACTCCCAAAGACAGGGAGGGCATCTCTAGATCTCCAGGCAAGGGAACTCTCTCTCCATCCGAACTCTTGACACCACAAAAACCATGTGAGTCTGGGGAGTTGAGGACTAGTAACTGGCAGTCTTGCCGCACTGTGCGGACTTGAAATGTCAAGGCACACACTTCTCTGCATCCACAATCGCTTACAATGTATGCTTGCAGGTGAAGTTAGCGTCTCTGCAGCTGATCTGCTTCTATAGGCAAGGTAGCCATAGTTGCTTTGCCAATAAGGAACAATAGTAGTCTTTAAGCAGTCAACTCATTTAATTCTTATGGATTTTCTTTTATGTATGTGAGCACACTCTTATTTTTCCACTGGGCATAATATGATTTTCTGTAAAGGCACAGTACCTAATACACTGTGGGCTCTCTGAAACCACTCGTGGAAATGAGAATCACAGATCTTTGTGTTCTGTGTTAGATGATGCCCTAGTAATTTGCAGCCCTCAGGCAGGCACCCTGCCCACTGGATGGAGAGCAGCCAGGTGAGGGAGAGATTGCGTGTGTGAGGCGCTTAACAGTAACAAGCGCGAGATCATAGGAGAGTGGGGATTACCAGTGTCAGGGCAGGTGAAAGTGCCCAGAAATACCCAGACATCTGACTTACATCGGAGAGTCCTCTGGAGGCCTGTAGTCTGCTTCCTATGCAAAGCAGAAAGTCTTGGTGTAATTCACCTTCTTGCTATTTGCCTCAAAGTCTCAGTTTTCTAAGTCTTTCTTATTCCCATTTTTACAAGTTGAGCCTCCTATAGCAAGTAAGACTTCTTGGTCTTCTCACAGACTGGGTAGAGGGTTTCCCTCAGCCCTCAGATGAACAAAAGAGGCTGTGATTTAAAATAATCCAGTCCTTCCTGCTAGCTAAGTACTTGTCACTGTCTAAAATGCAAGGTCCTGCTCCTCTCTAAAATGCAGTCCTTCGGTTTGTAGCCATGTGAACCATGCTGTGCTTCTCACCTTTCCTGCTCATTGGTTTGGTGGATAGGAACCCGTGCAGACCTGTTTCCTTTCTGTCTCATTAGCACCTCATTCATCCTCCTTACTGCGGCGTATCCATGGCTTCTGACACCTTTCCCGCGGTGCTGACTCTGGGCTCAGGGACCACAGTGAGCTTGAGACACTGCTGGAACGAGCCATGTGGAAAGCATTTCTGATGGGACTTTGCAGAGAGACTCCGTCTGGCTCAGCACATAAAACTTCATCCCTGAAAGTGTGTAGGGTTCTAAAGGAACCCTCCATCCACAGCTGGTCCACTCAGAGAAATGCTTCGTACCATTGGTAATAGAATGAGGCCTGTTGGAGGAGGACAGAGCCGTAGAATCAGGAAAGAGACTTTCCTGATGGCCGGTCGAGCTCTCAGAAAGCCCTCCCCTTGGCAGTTACTGAGAATAGCATAGGCTTACAGCACAGGCGCCTGTGTGTGTCTTTTCTTCAAGCTAGTGATCAGGGTTGCACTGGTGCAATCACATAAGGCCGTTTTGACATCATCTGTGTTTTACAATTTATTTATTTATGTTAGATATGCATTGCCTCAAGTACAGCATTGCCTTTAAAGGACTAATTTTGAATGGAAATCTATTTAAGGTGAGCACATGATGCTCAGACCCCAGTTCAGATATGTAAACTTGGCCCCCACAAAGCCACTTGTACATTGTGCTTGAACACATTTTGGGTGGCTCTTAGTGTGTCCTGCAGTGCATTAAGTGGACAGGGGCTGGGAGAAAGTGGTGCTTGTTGACCTTTTGCTTGAGAGTAAAGGGAAGGGAGGATTTTGTTTGTTTTAGATTTGCTTTACCATCCGTGTCTTCTGAACATCTCAAACCTTTCAGCTTTTCTGAAACTTAACAACTCTTTCTAGAGATTTCTGAGACAGAATTTTGCTACACAGAAAGTTCTTGCTGAGGTCCCCCAGCTGTCTGTCAGTGAACAGGCCAGGGCTGGGCCTGTGCATGCCTTGCTGGTCAGGATGGGCCCATTCCCTCTCCAGATGCTCCCCAAGGCCTCTTCAGAATCCACTTGATTCTGACTAGAAGGGTAGACTGGGACATGTCTAACCCCTTTCCCCACTAGCCTTTGGAATTTTTATAGTTGCAGCAAATCTCCATGCACAGACACTTTCACATGGGTCTTTCTGTTATAGCACAATTCTCCAGTAAGTCCTGTGGCCTTTGGATGCATTGGCATCGCAGGAAGCCAGCCCTGCCTAGAAGTTAGTGCGGGATGGTAGAACACACATTCCTGTTGACAAAATTGCAACCTTTCCTTTTTTCCCCCAATTATTGTGTACACATTTGCAGATGTTCCATAGACTACATGTTTTAAATTCTCTGTCATGGGCTATATAATTGCCAAATGGTTATAGTGATGCATATTATAACCTACAATCACTTTTTTTCTAGTATCCTTAATTATGTTTAGAATAAATTCATTTTGCTAGACCAGTATCCTCAAGCAGATAGTGTGCACGTACATGGAATTTAGAAGCATGAGAAGAAAGTGAGCACCGCATGTCCGTGTGGGGAAGAAACAGATGCATGGGAGAGAGAATGCTGGAGACGACTCCTGGCCCCTGGAGCTGGCCTTTCACGGCTGCCGGAATCCCAGCCCTGCCGTTTTGCTGTGGCCAACAAACACATACACTGCAAACCCAGAACTATATGGCACAACCAGTCCAAGCTTTTCAGAAACTGGGCAAAAATATTAAAATTTGGAAGATCGAGTCAACTGTAGTTGTCCGACACAAGATTTAATCTTAATGCTTCACAGACATATTCTTAAAATTTCAGCCTGCTTATTAGTGAGCAAGGCCAGGTCTGCTCTTAGAAGAAAAAAAGTTTTTTAAAATTGCCAAAAAGTTAGATGAAAATGTACTACTGTATAAAGCAAAGCTGTATATACTAAACATTTTTTAGCAGAGTAATATTTATTTGCATAGCCTATTTATTGTATTCATATTATACTGTTATTAAATATTGGGATGAAGTTGATGACCAGAGGCAAGGAATCTTGCCTTTTAATGTACCATCACTTAGGACTGCTGTGACATTTTTGGCTTGCGTTAAACATTAGAAGATAGAAAACCCACAATTGGGGTGTCTACCTAACTTCTCAGGGACTACACTTCACAGTTGTCAGCCATTATAAGACCTGGTAAATATGAAACGTTTGTTGAATTACCAGAATTGCCATTGACAGTGTTTCGTTTCTCATAGTTCATGCTTTCTGCCTCTGTATATATGACCCTGCTATGTATTTATCAAAGCTAGTAAGCAATAATTTATATGTAAAAATGGCCAAGCAATATAAGGTTAATACTTATATAAGTAACTGTTACTTTATCTTGTATTTTCCAGTGTTTTTTAATTGCCTTTCCAAATATAAGACTATGTTAAAGATACTATTCATGCCTTATCACTTCTTGCTTTTTCCTGGTGCTCTGGGCCAAATAGGTTGTGTTTCAGCGGTGTGTGGTGCTTGAATCGGAACCCAGAAGTCATTTGCTCATGGATGAAGATGGTCTCGGGCAGCCACAGGAGCCTGACCACTCATCCCACCCCTGGATGGTGGCCAGCTCCCAACTGCCTATGTTGGAAATGGCATCAGTGCTCTCATTCTGGGGTTTGGGGGAATCCAACTGCCACTGGCATCACCTTAGCCCACTTCAGCAGGGCCAGGAGCTAAAAGAAGTGCCAGCCCAGAGGCGGGATATGTTGGGCCCACAGAGCCCCTGATGGCTAAAGACCATGGCTGCTGGTGGACCAAGTGGAAAAGCAGGGTGCCGATGAAGCTCGGGCAAGTGGTGTACCACATCACTGCTCAGAATCTGCTCTCTCTGTCCCTGTGGGCCCCTTATGCATCCTGCTCGTCCACGTCAAGCTGGCCTTTGGCATGTGGGATTCTCTGCATGCAGGAAGATTATGTATTTTACCATCTTGAACTCTGGAGTAGCCCCATGTCTTGCTATATCTGGCAAAAAATGGAGATAATTGATCCATATAGCCTGTAGTCAAAGATTGACAAGGTAGCCTGTGCTCCCCATGCCTGCCCTTCTAGGAACTGTACACTGTTCCAGGCAGAGGTGTCACCTTCAGTGTGTGAAACTGAGCAAAGCTCTGGCATGGGAAAGGCTCAGATTTGTCACAATTAGAAGGCAGTGAGATTTGAATGGCTTGTTACTCAGCAGAATTTATCCTAAGCTGACTAATCCAATCTTCCTTCAACCCCCATGCAAGCAATAGTACTTTGTACAGTGCCTGATGGGTAAAGCCACCTGTTGTCACATATCCACGCAAATACTTCTCTTGTAAGGGAAAAAGTAGAGATGAGTTGAAGTCCGTTCTCTCAAGCTCTTGGCCACTAAGAAGTAACACTTCTCTGCGATGAGAGAGCACAGAGACAGTGCCTCTAAGACAGACAATGGGAGCAGAGGGAGGAGCTGCACTGAGCTTTACATTTGTCTTGGTTCCGAAGTCACCTCACTGTAGGGTTGATCCCGCAGGCTCCACCCAGAACCTGGGGCATGGAAAAAGGAAACTGGGCTTCTTTACTAAGAATAGTACCAGATTTTCTTCACTTCCAACTGGTATAGCTGGTACTGATAAGATGAGAAAAGATCACATGAACCTGGAAGCCTGTTCTTCAAATTAGCAAACCTCAAAACGGAACCTGTGGTCCTAGCCCTGATGCACTAGCTACAGAACTGGACTTCAGAGCATGAGGCTCCATATCGGGTCCCATACTTTGTCTGAGGTCTTTTGGGTCCCCATTGAGCAACTTGTGTATTTGCCTTGCATAAAATTACTTTGAACAAATGAGATTCCTGGAGCTTTCAGTATTTAGTGACACATACACAAAACTGCTCACATTCTTTAGTGATACATACATTTCTGATACTGAAGCAGCTCAAATTCCTTGTACTTCAGTAGAGAACCAGTGGTTCTCTTTCCAGCACAAGAGAGGAATGTGCTGTGGGCAAGGCAAACAAGACAAGCAGCCAAGGACTATCCTGGACACACACACAGACCCCTATCCCGACCAGACTTAGAGCTGTGTCTAATTCCATCTCATGGTTTTGTTTCTTTTATGGTGACTCCATGTTTGCTGAGGAACTCAATCTACTTTTTGGCCACTCTGTGGCTTCTAATTACTTTTCCCTCTCCTAGAGCCTGGGGTCTTCCAGTGGTGGCTTATGTTTCCTGTGGTTAGCTTTGTGAGCAGTTCTACCACAAGGTCACCTCACTGTTCCCCATGGTCATCCCAGAGGAAGCTTTGCAGCTGCCTTCTGAGAATACCACTTCCCCCAGCCTGGAGTAAAGCGCTGCAGTTCCCCTCAAATGGTACTTCCTTGCCAAGACAGAGCAAGGCCAGGGCGTGAGTGGCAACCACTTCAAACACTGCCCCACCCCTTCCTAACCACACCATGTCACCACTTAGTTTCTGCTACAGCTACACCACGTTCAAGATCTTAACAGTCTGAAATTCTCCCCTGAAGAAAACCAGCGCCTGCCATCAGTTTCCCAGTATCTGAGGGTTTCTCACATTCTGGGTCTTCAGCATGGAGATGGGAAGGTAGAAATGCCAGGTACCCCTGTTTGCCTTTTCTTCTCCAAGAAGACCTTGAAAGGCAGCCCTAGCTTGGCACCTTTCTTAAGGCCACTTCTTAAGCTTCTTGAGCTGTCCTCCCCAGAAGACCCAGTCTGCCCCATTCCTGCCCACAGGTATATCCCAACACCCAAGTTGTCCTCACGGTTAGAGCCTACAATTGCTAGCTAGAGCCTGAATGAAAATGATCATCTTTGGAGAAAATCCCTGCAATAATCACCTTGTTCTTGGAGTCCAGCCCAAAACCAACAACAGCAGCAAAAAAACAGAGAGAATGAAGTCTAGAAAGCAGTCAGCCTACATCAAAGCAGTGACAAGAATTCCTGACGTTCTGCAGCAACAGTGGTTCTCAAGATTCTATACCAGGGCATCATGGTATCGTGAGCAGTGTCACCATCCGGTCAAGTCCCAGACTTCAGTCTTCCCTCCTCACCTCCAGTGCTCCTTGCTCATCCAGCCCTCCACCAGCTGTACCACTTGGTTCTCCACTTAACTGCGTAATCTCAGGCTGCTGCTAGACATTACTCCAGTCATTACAGTAACCTGCCAAATCTTCCTCCTCCCAGTCTGAATTCTCCCCAGTACAGCATCCAAACTGCCTTCAAAATAATTTATGTTCCCAAAACAAATCTCACATTTCTTCCCAGCTCAAAATCCTTCAACAGCACCTGCTAGGCTGTGGGAGAAAACCTCAGTTGTATGTAAATTCTCCACAACGTGGCTGCTACAAAGCCATCCAAGGAGAAAGAGATCAGGCAGAGGTCCCTGGGAGACTAAGGACTTGTGGCCCCTGGAAGCAGATATTCTGCACATGGACATAAATTGATTCCCATTAATTAACATGATTAAAAATGACATACACCAAACATTTGCTAAGTAACTAAGAGTATCTGAGACTTACCCAAGGATATTCAAGGTGTCAAATCCTGAAGTCAGATTGCTAATATGCATGTATAGCTTGTGTGTGTGTGTGTGTGTGTGTGTGTGTGTGTATACGGATGCTGACCCTAAGGGGAAGAACTTGGGCCTCTGGAATTGACTGAAGCACAGGGAACTCTTTTCCACCAGAGCCGCACACGCAGACCTGAGAGCAATTTCAGGAATGGTTGCAAGGGCATTTCAGGGCCAGCTGAGGGCCGTGCCGCAGACTCATGAGAGCCCTCGAAGCCCTGGCTCTTTCGAAGTTGGAGCAGATCCATAGGTTCCAGACTGGATTCACTTTCTAGTTTGTTTGGGGCTTTTCTTAAGTGACTTGATTGATGTAGGAAATAACTGTTCATTTCTTTTGTATTCAGTTGACCTGGGCTGGGCTCCGAAGGAGCTGGGAGGGAAAAGGCCGTGGGCAGAGGCCGGAAAGGAGTGCCTCACCCCTCCCTGTCCTGTGCCCAGTGCTGACTCTGCACTCCTGTCGTGAATGCACAGAAGAGTCCCTGAGAGCAGCATCAGGGCTGCTTCCCAGCACCCGCCAGCTACTGCCTCTCCCTGCTCCGCTCCTCCCTGCATTCCTTCTCAGCCGCCAGCCAAGGGCTCAGCTTGCCCCATCCCTGGTCCCGTGTGGGCCCAGCACTGGAGTCTGGCCAGTTCTTTGTCCAACTATTCAACACTTGGCACCTAGAACTTCTTCCCTACCTGCCAAACAAAGCTAGGTCCACCCCAGAGCCCTTCTCATGACCCCACCTGACACTGAGCCCTCTGTCTCTCATCCCAATTCCTGCAGCAGGTCCCATATCTCTAGGAAACCACCTTACCTTATCCAGAGCTGCTGAGAGAACTGGGGAATGTTTCCGCCTTGTTCTTGGCTGCTGTTTTCCATCTCCTAAATGGAGATGAAAATACTATTGTGTAAGAGAGAAAATGAGAAAGTGTGTGTAACGCACTTAACAGTTCCTGGTACATAGTACACAATGAGTGATAATTCATTATTGTCATTAATATAGGGTGCAAGTGAGGGGATTTGCATCCGCGTTTTTATTCCGCCACTGAATATGCACAGATAAACTTCTCTTATCCTTATTCCCCTTATTGTTGAACAAGATAATAGCAACACCTCTGCCAAGGGGCAATTGTGAAAATGAAAGGGACAATGCAGTCCTCTGATCCTGCTAGAGTGAGGTACAAATGTTTCCTCTTGGAATCCCTGCATGCAAAGCAGGGGCAAACCCTAAATGTTTGCTGGTTTATCTAAACAAACATGGCTGCATGGATAGTCTGCATTCTAGGATCATACTAATGTTCAGGCATTAACAGAGGAAGAAAACCTCCCAGACAGACCTTGGGTATGTTCTCATCTGCTGCTCTGGCCCCACCACTCCCTTGAGGACTCAACAAAACTCTTAGTGAAGCCCCCTTCATTGGCCGATCCCTGTCCCTTCTGTGGTCCTCCTTGTGCTGGCACCATGGGTCAGGAACTCTTGGACAGCAGCTCCACCTGCCAAGTTGTGGGCTTCCAGGTGTCACTCAGGCAGTGTTGCTACTTCTGACAAGGGCCTGAGTGCCACAGGCTGCCCAGTCATGGTGCTTGGTGGGTGGCATCTCTGGTTTCATTTAGAAGTCACTCTGCAAGCACTGCGCCGCTCAGCCTGGACCCAGTCCTGGGCTGAGCTGAAGTCTCCTTTGTAAGAAGAAAAGCAAGGGAGCCCAAAAGAATGACATCTCATTCTGGGCCTAACTTTACACTTGGTGAGTATTTTTCTTCCATAAATCAACCACAAACTCTATCTGTGTCCCTCTTGTAATGTAAGTATGCTAGCACAGATCTGTA